CCCGTTCTCTCTCTCTCTCTCTCTCTCTCTCTCTCTCTCTCTCTCTCTCTCTCTCTCTGTCATGGGACTGATTAATTTCTACTGCTCAGTCCCAAGTGGTTCCTTCTGTGATTCTAGAAGGCGCTTGGGATGGGCAGACAAACAGCTGCTCCCCTGCTGGGCTGTTGTGGAGACCTCCCAATGGTCTTGACTTCCTGGGGGACTTGAGCCAGCACTGCTTCAGCACCTGCTACCCAGATGAGGTTCCAGGTTGGGCCCCAAGGTTCCCTTTGCTCTCTCACTGTGGGGCCACCACTGGCTGGATGACTAGGTGGATGGACAGCTCCCGAGTCTCTTCTCCTATCTGCGTCATTGGCCCTGTGGGCTGAGTGGTCCAAAGATGGTGGGCATTTGGTACTCAGCCATGCAGCTGGTCCACAGCCAGGAGTGACTCAGCCTGCCCTGGGGGGTTCAGCCCCCATGCCACACTAATGATTGACGCGAAACTGACCCAAGAGTAAGTCAGTGAAGATGCTGGGGAGCTATAGGCTAGGAGACACAATTCAGAAGCTGCATTTCTCTTGCCAGTATCTGCTGATTAATAATGAGATGAGGAGCTGGAGAGTGAGAGTACTGCAGGAAGGACACAGGCCCTGCATGTGACTGAATCAAGTTCGATCCCTGGCACTCATATGGTCCCCTGAGCCCTGAGTGATCCCTAAGTATAGAGCCAGGAGTAAGCCCTGAGTACTCCTGGATATGATCCCTCCCAACAAAAACAAGCAAAAAAAAAAAAAAATGCAAATGTCTTTCTGAAATAGTGTTTTTGGGTCCTTGGGGTAGATGCCAAGAAGTGAAATTTCTGGGTTGAATGAAAGCTCAATTCTTAGTTCTTTTGCAATATGTCCATATTGTTTTCCAGAGAAGTTGGACCAGTAAACATTCTCATCAGCAGTGAACGAGGGTTCTTTTACCCCACACCCATGCCAAAACTGATTGCTTTTACAATTTAAAATTTTTTAAAAAAATCTTGGGGCTGGAGTGATAGTACAGTGTGTAAGGCATGCTACCTTCCTGGGTTCAATCTTCAGCATCCCATATGGTCCCCTGAGCATGGCCAGATGTAGTTCCTGAGCATAGCCCAGGAGTAACCCCTGAGCACCGTTTAATGTGATCGAAAATTTAAAAAACAACAACAACAACAAAAAAAGATTAAAAATATCTTTAATGTTGCTGGGAGTATTTTTATGTCTATTTTACAGGCATAGTCAGGGTAAGTATCACCAAACCCCAGAGTAGGCAACACCGGAGCCATTTTCATACCAAGAGTCAGTTAGCACTTAGCCCAAATGACACCACCACAGGCCTCTGGGCTCCCAAGTCCCACAGCGTTAGGTAAGTGGCAGTGTTGGCTCTCTGCTCCTACAGCAACCCCAGGCAAGCACGTGTGCAAGCAGAGCGACTAAACATGTGAGCACAACCAAGAGTGTGCGCAGGATTCTGCCCTCCCACCAGCCTATGCCAACAATAATATACACAAAGGGAAGGTGGGGGGTGGGGGAGGGCAGTGGAGAAATTGTTCCAGTCTGATACTCTTGCTGGGCTCTTAACTGGGTTTCAGTTCAGCTTCCACCATTCGGGTTCTCTGCTGGTTGAGAAACCAGTGCATAAAGTCCCCTCAGAGAACTGCCACGTAATCAAGGGAATTTGGAAACTTCCTCCTGGGTTCAGGCCACCCGCATCTCCCTGGGAATGGAAGCTCTGAACACTTTTGTTGGCCCAAAGCGCTCACACACCCTTCTGTCCAGGACCAGAGGCTGCCAAAGGCTGGCCTTGGCCTTGGGAGCCCGTTTTTTCCCCCAGGAGGCATGTGATTTCCACTGTGCCCAGCAGGGGGCATCCTCACCCTTCCACCTTCTGCCCTGGGGTGTGGTTGGCCTCCAGGGTGCTCTCTGTTCAGCTCTGCCCAGGAGGCGCCTTTCCAAAACTGGGCGTTTGCCTGCCATCACTCATGTTCTCCATATCGCCCTTACTCTTATTGATGCAGTATTTTTTGTTTTCGGCTCACTTTTTTTGGGAATCTAAGTGTATTTTTTTTTTTTTTTGCTTTTTGGGTACACCCGGTGATGCACAGGGGTTACTCCTGGCTTTACACTCAGGAATTACTCCTGGCGGTGCTCAGGGGACCATATGGGATGCTGGGAATAGAACCTGGGTCGGCCGCGTGCAAGGCAAACGCCCTACCCGCTGTGCTATCACTCCAGCCCCTCTAAGTGTATTTCTAAATGAAGGTATATTTGCCTGGCTTCCCAGCGTTCTATATTCTGTATTCTGAGGGTTGCTTTGCAAGATGTGGGCAGGAGGACAGGTTCCACACAAACTAACATAGGAGGGCCTCAAGAATGGGTTCATGGGGAGACTGGAGCGACAATACAGTGGGGATGGCGTTTGCCTTGTCTGCGACCAACAAGGGGTTCAATCTCCAGTATCTCGGGGCTGAATTCCCAGCATCCCATATGGCCCCCCCAAGCACTGCCAGGAGTAACTCCTGAGTGCATGAGCCAGGAGTAACCCCTGTGCATCGCTGGGTGTGATCCAAAAAGCAAAATAAATAAATAAATAAATAACAATCTCCAGCATCTCATATGGTCCCACCCAGAGTGAGCCCTAAGTGCAGAGTCAGGAGTAAGCCCTGAGCACCACTGGATGTGACCCCAAAGCAAAACAGAAACAACAACCCCCCCCCCCGCAAAAAAAAAAACAAAAAACCCAAAGAACTGTGTTCAAGGTCAGGAGATAGCTCAAAGAGCCAACCACTTGCTTTGCATGCAAGAGAATTGGGTACTGTCTCCATCACTACATGGTCCCCTGAACACTGAGCTGGAAATTATCCCTGAGCACAGTTATGTGTGACCCCCCCAAATACAAACAAAGAAGAACTGGGTTCAGCAGCACTCTCGGTGGGTATGGATCGCTATATCCTGTGGATTCTCATCCTTCAGGGCTTGAGACTGAAAGAACCCAAGGAAGGACCCCCCCAAGTCCTGGAGGCACTCCATCTCTAAAGGAGAAGGTGTCTAGCCCTTGCCTTCCCCCAGGTCCTCGGATGAAGGGGGAAAGGACATCATCTCTTCGGTTGCTGCAGGGCAGGTAGGAGGGGCCCTTGGGCACTGCAGGTGCCAGGTGCTCAGGAAGCAGCAGGGATTTCCCTTGCAAAACCCATTCAAACACTCAGCAGAGATGTGATCCCAGGGAGGGTCACTGGGTGGCCCCCAAAGGGGACTGGAGGGAAGCAGGGAAGAGAGAGCAGGGCTTACAGGGGAACTCACCCTAGAGACTGAATCTCTAGTTATTTATTTGCTTTTTGGCTTACTCCTGGCTTTGGGCTCACTCCTGGCGGGGACTGAATATGGTACCGCGGACCCAACCCAATGCAAGACAAGTGCCTTACTTGCTGTCCTATTGCTCTGGGCCCGCAGAGATGAGTCTTCAGGAGTGGGGTACGGATGCACAGAGGGGATCATGAGCTGTTTTCAAAAGCTTTGTGGTCTAGGGGCTGGAGTGATAGTACAGCAAGTAGAGCGTTTGCCTTGCATGCAGCCGACCCGGGTTCAATTCCTAGCATCCCATATGGTCCCCCGAGCACCGCCAGGAGTAATTCCTGAGTGCATGAGCCAGGACTAACCCCTTTGCATCGCTGGGTGTGACCCAAAAAGAAAAAAAAAAATCTGTGTGGTCTAGAATTGCTATTATTTATTTATTTATTTTGGAGGAGCTGTGTGTTAGTGCTAGAAGTTCTCTCAGCTCCTACCCTCACTGGCCCCTGTGTCCCTGCTCAGACTGGACAGCAGAGACAATTCTAAGAATTGCAACATTCTAGGGGTCTACTCAGGCCCAGGCCCTGAGAGCGGAAGGAAGTCCACGGGCAACTGATTAAACTGCCTCCCTCATTGGATAGGAAGGTGATAAGCAGAGCTGGTTAGAGAGCGGAAGCTCCACAGCGGGGCTGGGGCAGAGACAGTGCTAGAGCCACGGTCCCTGGGCTCACCAGAGCTAGGTTCCCCTGGCACAGGCCCTGGGCACCAAGCAGAGGAGGGCAGCCAGCAGGAAGGCGCCTAGAGGCTGTTGGCCAAGGGCTGCTCAGAGCAGTGGTGTGTGGAGTGATGGCTGGTGAGTGGCGCCAGGGGCCAGGAACAGGGAGGGGTGTGTGTGTGTGTGTGTTGGATGTGATTGCACCTCATTTTCATAGGGAGGAAGCGTTGAGAAAGAGGAGCTGGGTGATTAGCAAACTTTGCTTATTCAAAATGCTCAGTTCCATTCCACCTCTGATCCCTAAGCACCCCAACAAAACTAAAACAAAAAGTTAAGACCACTGGATTGGGGTGCAATCAGTGCTCTAATGGTGTGAAGGAGGTGCTAGGTGTGATTTCTGCACACATTTCCCCAACTCCCCACCCCACCACTGTGGCCAAAAATTACTGCTCTCAGGGCTGGGGAGATGCAGAGGTCCTGAATTCAATCCCCCTACATTCTTCCTGCCTAGCTTAGTTGGCAAAGTATTGCAGGGAGAGACCCCCAATGTCTCTCATCTTGGCTGGCATATCCCCCCAAAATCACTCAGTCCCAGCTGAGCTCTTCCTATCTTATGACCACCTTCAAGGGGACCCCGGACACCTCAACTCCGTCCCCGTGGTGCTGTCTCTCCAGCTTCCCAGAAACTTTCCAGGAATTCCTCTGGGGAAATCACGGAGACCCCTCTCCAAGATCCTGGATCCCAGACGTTCCCCTCCATCCTGAACCGGCTAAGATGACCCCTGCAACCCTGAGCAGGAAGTCCAGAGGCTTCGGGAGCAGGCAGGCGAGGGAGGAGAGTTTGGGGAGGAGCCCCCTACTGCAGGCAGGAGGGGAGGGTCATATAAAGAGGCAGATTAGGCCTTTTGCGGAAGCACTCAGCCCGCTCTGGCTCTGGCCGGCTAGGCTGGGCTATAAGCGGATCCCACAGAAGCCACAGCCAGCGCCATGTGAGCCACGGCCCGGCCTGGCACCCCTGCCTGCCTGTGCCTGCTGGCCTCTTCAGAGAGGGAGGCCAGGTGCCATGTCCCTGCTCAGCCCCGTCCTGCTGCCTCCCGAGGTGAAGACCTATCTGAGCCATGGAGAACGCTTCATCAAATGGGACGACGTGAGTGGGCGCCGGAGGCGGTGGCAGCGGGTGGAGGGGCCCGGCCCAGCGGGTAGGGGGGTTTATGTCTGCCAGGACCAGGCGCCTGTGAGGCTCGTAGATAAAATAAACCTGACAGTGAGTGTCCACAGTTGCTTCCGTGAAGAAGAGGCTGCCTGGCTGGCCAGAGGCCTCATCTCTGCTCCGGCTCTGTTCTCTCCCATCCCACCCCAGGGACCCTGAAGAGTGGGGTTTCTCGATCCCTAGAGTCAAAGAAGGATGCTCGGGAGAGGTGACCAGATTCCAGTCCCCTCGTGCCCCTACTGGGTGACTGGAATCACTTCCTGCTTGCTAGCTGGCTTGTGTCAGTCCCAGGGAAACACCCCCTCACCCCCACCCCAACACACACACACACACACACACACACTGGGACCCCCAGTGTCCTGGGTCCTGGGCTAGCTGCCCTCACCCCTGCTGCCCCAGTGCCAGCCCAGTGGCAGGAAAGGGGTGTTTCTGCTTGACCTTGCACCTCTATCTACACCCCGCCTGCTCCTATACAAACCGTTTCCAGCCTGTGGTTCCCTGACACCCTGAAGGGGTGTTGAGAGCCTGCCACAGGGCAGGGATTCTCTGGGTGGGTATGGAGAAGCATCCAGGGTTTGGGAGGGGGGAGCTGCGGACTGACCTGGTGAGAATCAGGGCTGCTGGTCCCAGGAAGGAGAATGTTCTAGAAGGAGCGAGTGGGGGTGGGGGTGGGGAATGGAGCGCTGCTCACTGGCTTTGGCCCGCCCCAGGGCGGGAGGTGTCTCTGTGGGGTGGGGGCTGCTGGGAGGCTCTTCCGCTTTCTGAGCCAAGGTGTGGTTGATGTGGCATAGTAGCGTGTACCAGGAGCCCCAGGAATGAGGAAAGAGATTCAGAATGAAAAGTGAAGTGGGCTCCCCTGCCCCGAGGACTGACCGGGATGGTCCCTAGCAATGGGCACAGGTTTACTGCCAGCCCGCCCCTGTGAACTTGGCTGTTGCCCCCTCGGCCCAGGGCAGGACATTGCTGGGTGCCCAGCCAGTCTCTCCCTGCTTGCTAGAACTGGGAGCCTGTAGACAGATTAGAACTTCAGAAGGTGAGTTTACTCACTCCTGCAGCAAAAGATGATACAGGGCACCCAGTTCATGGGCTAGCTCAGTGCTCATGGGTGCCAGCCGAGGCTCCTACTTTCAGCTCAGGTCTGTGCGGTGCACCAGAAGAAATCAGCTCTGATTCCTTCGCCTTGTGGCCCTTCCTTCCCAGGGTGTTTGGTGGGGGGAACACTTTCAACCAGACATGCCCTTGGCTCCTGGGGATTACAAAAACTCCCCAGGCACTTTCATCACAAAAGCCAGCTTGAAATTCTTCTTCGGACCTCCAACTTCAATTTGAGAGCCTGGGTTGGTCTCTGCCCCCCTCCCTCTGGGAATGGAAAAGGAGAGGCTACCTGTGAGTGGAAGGGGCCTGCCCAGATAGGGTGCAGGGGAGGAAGTGGGAAAGGGGGGGGATCAGGGTTCTGAACAGAACAGGGGTGTCTCACAAACCAGCCCATACCCATGGGGCCTGGCCAAAAGTTAAGATGTGTGTCTTTCTTTCTGGCGGTCTGTTATTTTGGGGGAGGTGGTATATGGGTCACGCCCAGGCTTAAAATGAAGAATCAGCCACCACACCTCTGCTTGAGGAAGGAGGGAGTGGGGCCCTCAGATCATCTTTCTCCAGACTGAGCCCCTCACTGAGAGTTCCCGGCCTCTCCCTAGCACCCCTCCTGGGCATCCTTGTTTGCGGTGCCCAGGGAATTGAACCCAGGGTTTCACATGTGTGAGGCATAGGCTCTACTGCTGAGTCATACCTGTCCCCATTTTAATCTCATACATGGAAAGAGAGACCATGACAATGAAAAGGGAACCATTATGGGGAAAAGGTAACCTTTTCACTGAAGATTAGAACTTCAGCAGGTGAGCTTACTCTCTCCTGCAGAAAACATGGGGCACCTCGTTGGTGGGCTTGCACAGTGCTCACGGGTTAGTACAATGCTCATGGATTAGCCCAGTGCTCATGGATTAGCGCAGTGCTCACGGACTGGTACAGTGCTCCTGGGTTAGCTCAGTGCTTATGGGCTAGCGTGGGCTTAGTTCCCCAGAGCATGAGCCTATGGAGATTTTGCTGATGGGCTCTGGGTCTGTGAACCAGACCCCACACTGTGCTCAGAGCTCCAGGGGCGTTTCCAGAGGAGCCTTGATGGCCTTTTGGTAGGGCTGGGGGGTGAGCTTACCGGGTAGTCCTGGGAAGGCACTTCTCCGAGGGTCAGCTGGGGTGTGGCTGCAATGCACAGGGCTGGTGTGCAGGGGCAGAGTTTGGGCTCAGCCTCTTTCTATGCAGGCTTGCCCTCAGAGGGGCGGGGGTGGAGGGGGGGTGTCTCCGGGGAGGCATTCTGCTCCTTCCGTTGAGCCGCACCCTTTGGTCACAGGGACTCTGCGGGCCCTTTGGGGATTCACGGGGGAAGGCCTCTCCTTTTCCAGAAATGTCTTCCCCACCCCTGCTGCGGAGCTCTTACAGCTTGTGGATTGAGCTCTGTAGAAAAAGGGAACTGCAAATGGCCACCTCCTGGGGAGATAGCGAACTCTGGGCTTCCTGGCATGGGGCTAGGGATGTTTGACCCCAAGTCTCCTCTCTGCAGGAAACGGCCATCGCCTCCCCAGTTATTCTGCGTGTGGACCCCAAGGGCTATTACTTGTACTGGACATACCAGAGTAAGGTAGACAGCCCCTGCTCGACCTGAGCGCCTGCCTGTATGTCCACTGAGTCACAGCAGCCTAGCGGCTTGAGTGGGGGAGGTGGGACCTGGGGGAGGTAGAAGGGTCCTCCAATGAGGAAGGGGGGGCCCAGCCACCACCCAGGGCCGCCTCAGCCAGTGGGTCAAACCTCTGTGTCCTTGAGAAGGAGAGGGGGAGAGCCGCTGTAGAGGACGTCTCAGTCCAGGCTGTGGGTTAAACTGAGGGGCAGTAGGAGGGGAGATCCGGGAGTGTCCCAGATTGGGGTGTGGGGGGTGCGAGACTGCAAGCCCCAGGGAACCCAAGTGAGCAGGGAAGGAATGTTCAGAGGGGGAAGAGGAGGTACCATGGACGGGGAGACCCAGAAGGGAGGCGGGGGCTGCCCCACCGTCTCGGCTGAAGAGATAAGAAGGGCTGTGGTGGTTCCTTCCTCCTTGCTCTTCATTCCGGACCCCACCTTGTCACGCACACCCCTTCTCTGCTCCCTCCAGGAGATGGAATTTTTGGATATCACCAGCATCCGGGACACCCGCTTTGGGAAGTTTGCCAAAGTGCCCAAGGTAGGTGGGCCCAAGTGGCTAAGAACCAGATGGGGGCCACGCTAGGAGTCCCCTAGGACAGGCGTAGGGGGACCCTCTGGGCTGAGAGGCGTGTACAACAATGCTGTCCCCCACTGAAAAAGGGGTATAGCTGTTCTGGAACTTGCTGGGACTTTCTAGAACTTGCGGGGGTCATAAGGACTGTGAAGGGTGTCTCGAAACCAGCTCTGGCCCCCAGACCTGTGAGGGAGATTCTGTGGATACACTCTCCCCGGCCCCTATTTGAATGGAAAACAGGAGGAAGGGATGGCAGGGAGCAGGCTGGCCTGGGGCTGGAGCGAAGACTTGGCCGCAGATGAAGTTCCAACAAACCCAGTCAGGACCCAATGGCCAGGCCCCTCGGCCTCCCTTCCTGGGACCTCTCCTGTGTCTGAGCAGGTTCTGGGGATGGAGTTCCACTGTCTGAGGGGCAGATGCAAAGGGACCAGACCACGGGGATGGGGTGATCACCCGTCTCTCCCTTCTCGGAGCAGAGCCAGAAGCTCCGGGACGTGTTCAACATGGACTTTCCCGACAACACCTTCCTGCTGAAGGCGCTCACCGTGGTGTCCGGCCCCGACATGGTGGACCTCACCTTCCACAACTTCGTCTCCTACAAGGAGAATGTGGGCAAGGTGTGCTGGGATCAGGTCGCCTGCATGGGCAAGGGGTGTACGAGGTGCAAGGGTCCCGGGCCTGACCCATGTACTCGGTACCTGCAGGACTGGGCTGAAGATGTGTTGGCCCTGGCCAAGCACCCACTGACAGCCAACGCCCCCCGCAGCACCTTCCTGGACAAGATGTAAGTGCCTGCCTGCCTGCCTGTCTACCCGGGCTCTGCCTTTCCCCATGCCCTGACCCATTGCTCTCTGCCCGCCAGCCTGGTGAAGCTCAAGATGCAGCTCAATCCTGAAGGGAAGATTCCTGTCAAGAAGTGAGTCTAGGGGGCTGGAGCGATAGCACAGCAGGTAGGGCGTTTGCCTTGCACGCAGCTGACCCAGGATCGATTCCCAGTATCCCATATGGTCCCCATAGCACTGTCAGGAGTAACTCCTGAGTGCAGAGCCAGGAGTAACCCCTATGCATCACCAGGCGTGACCCAAAAAAGAAAAAAAAAGAAAGAAAAAAAGGAAGAAGTGAGTCCACCCAGGGGCTGGAGCAGAGACAGTGCAGAGGGTGTTTGCCTTTGCATGAGGTCAATCTGGGGTCAATCCCCAGCACCCTAGATGATCCCTCAAGCTGGCCAGAAGGGGTTCCAGAGTGCAGAGCCAGGAGTAACTGCTGAGCACTGCTGAGTATGCTCCCCCCCCCTCAAAAAAAGGAGAAGTGAATCTTCCCAGTTGACCCCCCGCCCATATACACACACACACACACACACACACACACACACACACACACACACACACACACTTCCAGGGCCCACAAAATCTTCCATGCCCAGGAAGATTCATTCCCCTCTTTGCCCGGGGACATACTCTGTGCCTTCAGTTTTTTCCAGATGTTTCCTGCTGACCGTAAGCGGGTAGAAGCTGCCCTCAGTGCTTGCCATCTCCCCAAAAGCAAGGTGAGTGATTCACCCCCCACACACACACACACACACACTTCTCCCTCTCACAGGTGCTTTCTGACTAGAGGCTGTGCGAACAGGAAGGCAAGAGTGATGGCACAGGCCTGGCCACAGACTGAACGAGATCAAGGGCTGAGAGAGACTGTGTGTATGCATGTGCTAAAGTGTGACTGTTGAGTATGAGTGTCTAAGTGTGTGTGTCAGTGTGTGTGATGTGTGTATGTGTGACTATGTGCGAATATATATATACAAGTGTATATGTGGTCGTGTGACTATGTGTGAGTGTCTGTGTGTGTGTTTGAGTGTGACTGTGTCTAAGTATGTGTGATGTATGTGTGACTACGTATAAATGTGTGTCTGTGTGAGTGTGTTTAAGTGTGATTGTGTCTGTGTCAGTGTGTGATATGTGTATGTATGAGTGTATGTATATATGAGTATATGTTAGACTATGTGTGCATGTATGTGCAGTGTGTATATGATCATGCGTGTGTGTGGGTGTGACTATGTGTGACTGTGTGTGTGTGGTGACTGGTAGAACTGCACCCCTAGTCCTGGCAGTATAGGGGGGCACTGGTGGTTGGCAGTGGTTGAGGGACCTTGTTTAGGGGGCGTGTTCCTGTTGACATAGAAGTTAAGAGTGAAGGTTTCTGCCCTGGGGAGCAAGATGGGGTCCCAGTTGGCAGGGATGTTGTGAAGGGGGCATGAGGACAACTAGAGAAAGGAGTAAATCGAGGATGGAAGCTGGCAGGACACACCTCAGCTCCACACAAGAAAATCATTTTTTCTTTGCTTTTAGTTCAGTAAGAAAATGTTGCAGGTTGTCTGCAGGGTCACCCCAGGAGAAACCTTATGTGACTGGCACCAAGGAGCCCAGTGGGCCAAAGTGCCTGAGTCAGTGTTCAGGCAAGCGGGGCTGGATACCAGCTTCCGTGTGGCTCCTGGATCAGTGCCTTGCCGGGAAAAAAAAAAAAACACAAAAAACACTGGGAGTGTTGTTGTTGTTTTTTTTTTTCTGCTAAGTATGTAGCGTATAGGAACCAAACTAAGACGTTCCTGGTCACCTGTCCATATGGATCCAGAGGAATGTCCCCAAGCCACAGCTCTGTGGGGTTTCTGGGAAGTGCTGCCCACTTCCTTCTCTTCTTCCCCTGCTCCTGCGATGGTCAGGCCTCCTTACCTGTCCAGCAGGAGCCACGGGCCTTTTGCTTGGATCCTTTGCTGGTGTGTCTACCTGGGAGCTTAGGCAGTCGCAGTCTGGTTCACTCAATCATATTCCATTGAATGGATATACCTCTGCTGGCCTGAGACCCATGCTGGCCTTCCACTGTGATCCTGGAAGACATCTGATGGGGTTTTCTGGGTTAGGAGGAATAGACAGGGAATCCCCCCGTAGGCACCTCCCTCCTTCCCTTCCTCCCTCCTTCCTTCCTTCTTGCATCTGGAGGTGCTTGAGGCGTACTCCTTTATGCTCAGGGGCACTCCTGATGGGATTTGGGGACCATATGGGGTGCTAGGAAACAAACCCAGGTAAGCTGCATGCAAGGAAAGTATCCTCCCCACTGTCCTATCTCTCTCTCTCTAGCACATGCCCCCCTTCTGAACATTCCGTGGAAATGGAATCTTGCGCCAAGTGATCTTCCATGCCACCCTAATGCACCTAGTCAGTGCTTCCAGGTTCATCCACATTATAGCAGGCACCAGTACTTCATTCCCGTTTGTTGCTACATTATATTACACTGAATGGCTCCCCGTGACGTATTCGATATGCCAAACACAGTAACAAGTGTCACAATGGAGACGTTACTGGACCCACTCAAGCAAATCGATGAACAACGGGAGGGCAGTGGTAGTGGCAGTGGATATACCAACAGGCAAGCAATGCCTGCCTGTTCATTTATCTCTGGATGGACATTGGATTGTTAGCACATTCTTTTTGACACACCAAGCTGCTGTAATATTCGCATGCGGGATTTTGTCTAGATGTATGTTTTTGGTTCTTTTGAGTGTAAACCTGGGGGTGGAGTTGTTGGGTCAGAGTCTAACTGTGTGGTTAATGTTTGAGGAACTGCTCATGGTTTCCAAAGGAACGAAACCATTTTACATTCCCACCAGCACTGGATGGAGGGTTCCAATTTCTCCACATTCTCCCCAACACTTGTTATCATCTTTTTAGAAAAAAAATTTAATTTTAGTCTTGCTGTGGGAGTGTAGTGATATCTCATTGTGGTTTAGATTTGCATTTCCTTAATGACTAATGATATCAAGCATCTTTTCATGGGCTCTTGGACCATTTGCATCTCTTCTTTAGAGAAAAGTCTATTCAACTTCACTCTCCAGTTTTCAGTGGGGTTATTTTATTTTTTTGTTGCTGTTGAGTAGGCTATTGAGTTATCCCTTACTGGAAATATAATTTGCAAATATTTTATCCTTTTCTGATAGTCATTTCACTTTCTTGATGGTACACTTTGAAACACAGTTTTCAATCTGAGTGAAGTGCAAATGGTTCTTTCTGGTGTTCCTTGTTTGTTGGGTGTTATTGTTGTTAACTATTATTTTTGGCTTGCCTATTTCTTTCTTCATCTCTGGTGTTTGTGCTTCATGTCTCTTGGGATCTGTTTATACTGTGCTTTGTTAAAATATATTTTTAAAAATCTGTCCTCTGCTTTACAAAAGGGCTCCCAGAGAGACAGTACAGTGGGTAGGGCACTTGTCTTGCACTTGGTTTGATCCTTAGCATTCCATATGCCCCCCTCAGCTCTTCCAGAAGTGATCCCTGAGCACTGCTGGGTGTGGCCCCCCACAAAAAGCAAAAAAAAAAAAAACCCAAACCCCCCAAAAAAGATCAGGTCCAGAATGATAGTCCAATATGTGTGGTATTTGCCTTGCATGTGGCTGGCCCAGATCTGATGCCCTGCACCACATAGGCACTGCCAGGAGTGATCCCTGAGCACGCTGGTTGTGGTGTGCTCCTCCAAAAAATGCCAGGGAGATAGCTTGAAGAGGTGGAGCACAGGTATGAATGAGACCCCAAATTTGATCCCAGGCACGATGGGGCCCCAAGGTCTCTATTAAAAAAATGAACCAACAAACCCCAAACAATGAGCATCTACTGACAGGTACAATGACATTTGTCTTTTCTCCCTCCCCTTCTGGTCTTTCCCTGACAAGTGTCCAAAGTTAGGACCAAAGCAAACCAGCGAAACACACTCTCTGCTCTCGGCTCAGCAATCTAGGCCTGGACAGTGGGCACTTGGTGTGTCCCCCTCACCCACCCACCCACCGAACCTTCCTGACCTAATCTTTCCCCTGTGGACCAGACCCCCTTCTTCCCCCCCCTGCCCCCCCCCCCACACATGGTGTTGGGTCTAAAATATGGGTCTTCATCCAGAGAAGTTTGAGGGTCAGGAGTGATCAGAGAACCTTTCCCCCACAACCCCCCAGAATGATGCCATCAACCCCGAGGACTTCCCAGAATCTGTCTACAAAAGCTTCCTCATGAGCCTCTGCCCTCGGCCAGAAATAGACGAGATCTTCACGTCCTAGTGAGTTTCCTGGGCTGGGCTGGGCTGGGCCTGGAGAAAGGTTCTCACCCCAACTTCTTGTCTGCCTGACTGGGAATGGGGCACCCTTGCTGGAGAGGGGGCTGCTTGTGCATCCCCCTGGCCCTCTGAGAGGCCACCTGGACTCCTCCTCCCTCTGGCCCACAGCCACGCCAAGGCCAAACCCTATATGACCAAGGAGCACCTGACCAAATTCATCAACCAGGTGCAGCGGGACCCCCGACTCAACTCCTTGCTGTTCCCGCCAGCCCGGCCAGACCAGGTGCAGGGCCTCATCCACAAGTATGAGCCCAGCTGCATCAACGTGCAGAGGGGTGAGATGCAAGGGTCCTTCCCTGGCCCCCCACCCTCAGTCCACCCGAGCTATTGGCTGTGCCCTTGACCGCCAGCCCCCGGTCCTGCAGGCCAGCTGTCCCCCGAGGGCATGGTCTGGTTCCTGTGTGGGCCGGAGAACAGCGTGCTGGCCCACAGCAAGCTCCTGCTCCACCAGGACATGACGCAGCCGCTCAACCACTACTTCATCAACTCTTCGCACAACACCTACCTCACAGGTAGGCTGACAACTGTGGGCCCCGCCGCCAGAGTCCGGATGGACGCCCCTGACCCCGTTTCTCCCCCATCCGCCCACAACCCCCAGCCGGCCAGTTCTCCGGCCTCTCCTCGGCCGAGATGTACCGCCAGGTGCTGCTGGCAGGCTGCCGCTGCGTGGAGCTGGACTGCTGGAAAGGGAAGCCTCCCGACGAAGAGCCCATCATCACGCACGGCTTCACCATGACCACCGACATCTACTTCAAGGTGGGCCTGGAGGATGGAACGATAGCACAGCGGGTAGGGCATTTGCCTTGAACGCAGCTGACCTGGGTTCGATCCCAGCATCCCATATGGTCCCCTGAGCACCGTCAGGAGTAATTAGACCATTCAGGAGTAATTCCTGAGTGCAGAGCCAGGAGTAGCCCCTGTGCATCGCTGGGTGTGACCCAAAAAGAAAAAAAAAAAGGTGGGCCTGCTCAGGGCCTGGGAATCCTCGGGGCTGTGGTGGGGCCTGGACTCCAGGCTCTGGGTGTGAAGCAGAGGAGAAAAGGCAGCCTGTGCCTTTTCCCTGTGCGGACAGGGCAGGGAAGCCTGGGGCACTGGCCTGCTGCCAAGGAGCCCCTCTCCTGCAGGAAGCCATCGAAGCCATTGCAGAGAGCGCCTTCAAGACATCCCCGTATCCTGTCATCCTGTCATTCGAAAACCACGTGGACTCGTGTGTACCCACAGCCTCCTCCTCCCGCACCCTGACTCCGGTCTGCAGCTGCCCTCCCGCACTGCCCCTGGCCCTGGCCAGGCCCTCGCCCACAGCTCTCCTCCTGCCACCTCATCCTGGGCCCCTGCAGAAGGAGGGGTGAGGGTGCTGGAAGTGGGGGGTGGGGGAACTGCTGAATCCCAAGGTCTCTTCCATCCCCACAGACCCCGACAACAGGCCAAAATGGCCGAGTACTGCCGGACCATGTTTGGGGACATGCTGCTCACGGAACCCCTGGAAAAATTCCCGGTGGGGGCAAAGGGGCCCTTTGGGGCTGCAGACTGGGGGGTGGGGCCAAATGAAGGACGAGGATGTGTCCAGAGGATGCAGGGGTTCATTTGGCAGCCTTGGGGGGTGCTAGGACCCTCTCACGGCACACACGTGGGCTGGTGCTGGGCTTCGGGGCACACGTGCATGGACGTTCTTGCACTCTGGGTGCTGACACCCTCGGGACACAGACTATCAGGTGGGCTCAGCTCAGGGACCGTAAGGGGAGGGCCCCGGGGTGCCTGGGCTGGTCTCAGGGATCAAGGAAGGCTTCCTGGTGCGAAGATGCTCTAGGAGCAACTGGACTTACCTGGGTCAACAGCAGAAAAAGGGGGTTCCAGGCAGATGGAGGCAGGCAGGGGTGAGGAGACAGTGCCGAGCCTCTCCCCTCCCTTCCAGCTGAAACCGGGCATCCCCCTGCCCAGCCCTGAGGACCTCAGAGGCAAGATCCTCATCAAAAACAAGAAGAACCAGTTCTCTGGCAAGGAAGTGGGTGGGGAGCCAGAGGGCAGCTGCCCACCCAGTACTCCAGCAGGCGAGGAACCAGGTGAGTCCTGGGGAAGGGGGGCTGGGAATGGGAGAGAAGCAACTGGACTGGAAGAAAAGCAGGTCCAGGAGGAGGCTGTTGCCCCCCCCATGCCCTCCCACCCCGCAGTGGTGCAGCCTTGTGAAGCCATGTGGGCTGGTGAGGAGGAGGAGGAGGAGGCAGAAGAGGAAGAGGAAGAGGAGTTGGGGTGTCTGGATGAAGAGGAGATAAAAAAGATGCAGTCAGATGAGGTGTGTGGGGGCCAGTGGGGATCACAGCTCCTTCTGTCCTCTCCGCCCCATTGCCCCGGGGGAGGGTCCACACTGGCACTGGGTCCTGGGGCGCTGTCCATCCCCCTTCCTCCCTCCCAGGGCACAGCGGGGCTGGAGGTGACGGCATATGAGGAGATGTCCAGCCTGGTCAACTACATCCAGCCCACCAAGTTCGTCTCCTTCGAGCTCTCGGCTGGTGAGTGGGGGAGGGGAGGGATACGCTCGTGTGGGGCTGGAGTGATAGGACAGCGTGGAGGGTGCTTGCCTTGCACGCGATTCACCTGGTTCTAGCCCTGCACTCCATATGGTCCCCCGTGCACCGCCAGGAGTGACTCCTGAGTGCAGAGCCAGGAGTACCCCCTGAGCATTGCCGGTGTGACCCCAAAACAAAACAAAAAAAGGATACTCTCATGGGTCTAAGTGAGTGAGGGCCCCCCTCTGACTCCCTAGCCCTCTGTGGACTCAGCCTGTGTCTATAAATACCCCAGCCGGAGTCAGCCTGGGCTGTTTAAGTGGCTGCGGCTCCGAGCTTCCTGACACTGTTCCGGGGACCTTGGTACAAGCTAGCAAGCAGGGTGCTCTGGAGAATGTCAGATTTAGGTGGGGGCCAGGGACAGGCCCCCTCAGCAGTCTGTCTGTGACTCCCAGAGTGAACCCTGGAGCAGGGTGACTGCTGGGAAAGCAGGAATAGCAGCTAGTGTCCCCCTGAGCTGGACTCCTGACCTCTGCAGCACCCGGGGGGCCGGCCTCCCTCTGCCTCCTCCAGTCATTGCATTCTGGCCTCCTCTTAAGCCTGCACCCCACCCCCCTTTCACCCTCTGAACCCCGTCCTCCTTTTCCCCTCTGCACTCTGCCCTCTCCTCTTGTCCTGCACCTGCCCACGAGGAGCTTGGTGGCACGGACCCACACTGTACCCTTACCCTGGGTGTGTGCCCACCCCTCACCCTCCCCTCCAGCATGTGTGCTCGGCTCCTTATTGGTCTTTGCCAAGTCTTGACCAAGGGGCCCCGCCTCACCTGTCCCCTCTACCCCACATCCCACACCCACACTCTCTAGGATTGTGTGATGCCCCCTCCCTGTGCGTGCCCACCAGGCACCCCTGGCATACACGAGGACCCCCCCACACTTTCTGGGGCCTGAGTGAAAAGGCAAGGTGGACACCTTCTGGGCACTAGACAGAGCTGCCCACTGGGGAGGGCAGGACCGAGGGTGGGCACCGCCTGACATGCCTCCCGCCCTCCTTGGCCCACGCAGAGAAGAACCAGAGTTATGTCATCTCCTCCTTCACGGAGCTCAAGGCCTACGACCTGCTGTCCAAGGCCTCGGTGCAGTTTGTGGAGTATCCTTGGCCTGTGTGGCAGGGGGCCCGGCTGGGGTGGTGGGGGGACCCAGCTGGGGTGGCAGGCGGGGGGCTCTGTAGGGGGCTGGGGGACTCTGACGTGCGGGCAGCTCCTATACTCTGAGGACAGCTATAACAAGCGCCAGATGAGCCGCATCTACCCCAAGGGCACCCGCATGGACTCCTCCAACTACATGCCCCAGATGTTCTGGAATGCTGGGTGCCAGATGGTGGCCCTCAACTTTCAGACGATGGGTGAGGGCACCCCCTGGCCCCCTTTAAAACTGATATCAGCCCCCCCCGACCCACCTTTCGCACCTTGGCCCCCTCCATAGTACAGAGAGGGACGTGCTGATACTGGCCTGGACCCTGAGAGCACACATAGGGGTGAGGTGAGCTGTCTCCTGGGGTCCAGACCCCTCCCCGCAGGCCGCTGTGGCTGCAGGTGTCTGTGCATGGGCAGCTGCCCCCCCCCCCCCGTGTGGTGGGGCTGGGGGCTGGCCTGCTTGGGGTCGGCTGGCCACAGTGAGTTTGGCATCCCTCCTGGCAGACGAGACTGCCCCAGGAACTGGGACCCGAGACCCCTCCCTCTCACTGTCCACACAGTGTCCCCCTTCACAAGGCAGGAGCGGAAGAGGGCTGCCCCCCCTCTCACAGTGTGCGCCGCTTCCCCCAGACCTGCCCATGCAGCAGAACATGGCTCTGTTTGAGTTTAACGGCCAGAGCGGCTACCTCCTCAAGCATGAGTTCATGCGGCGACCGGACAAGCAGTTCAACCCCTTCTCCGTGGACCGCATCGATGTGGTGGTGGCCACCACCCTTTCCATCACGGCAAGGCCCTGCTGAAGCCTCATGGCCAGGAGGGAGGGCTGGGCTGGTGGGGGGGAGCGAGGTGGGTGGGGGGACACAGGAGCCCCACTCCTCCACTCCCACCCCCCTCCCCTGATATCCTGGAAACTTCAGCCGCAGCCAGTTCGTGCAGGAGCAAGTTGCCTTGGAAACTGCCTCCTCCTCAGCTCTGAGGCTGCCTCTTAGTCCCCATGGAAACCAAGGGGAAGGGCTGAGGCTGGGGTGGGGGAGGGGAGGAGAGTGGGCAGAGTGGGGCCGCAGGAGCCCCAGTCCGGGGGAGGGACCGTTCCTTCCTGCTGGGGGAGGGCAGCCTGTTGGTCACCAGTCACCACGGCCCAGCTGGAACCCTGGAGCCAGCAACCCCAGCTGGTGGCCAGTGCTAAATGGAGCCCAAGAATTGATGCTGGAGATGTGGGGTGGAGGCCAGGGGCCGGGGCGCGGGAAACTGATGCCAACCTCCCCATGGCCCCCCCTCCAGGTCATCTCGGGGCAGTTCCTGTCAGAACGAAGTGTGCGCACCTATGTGGAAGTAGAGCTGTTCGGCCTTCCTGGGGACCCCAAGAGGCGTTACCGCACCAAGCTGTCCCCCAACACCAACTCCATCAACCCTGTCTGGAAGGAGGAGCCCTTTGTCTTCGAGAAGGTGGGGCCCAGGGCCAGGTAGGGCAGAAAAGAAGAAATAGATCAAGGAAGGCCCTCAGTGCCCCTCCCTCCCCTCCCCTCACCCCCTGCCCCAAATTCTAAGAACCCCCGGGGCTGTCCAGGGCTGGTGGGTTTTGCGTGTGTGCGCATGTGAGAGACCAGGGGGAAACATGAATTCCCAGTGCTGGGAGCAGGCCCCCATGGAATCAGAGGGGGTTGGAGGCCCCATGGACTGCCTGCATGATTCTCTTGGTGGTGGCCAGCACAACTGTCCCTATGGCCTAGAGTATGGCCACTCTCCTCTGCAGGTCTAATAACACCTGCCATGTTCCCCCACTGACTCCAAGACTTCTGGGGTTCTGGAGGGTCTCCCCTCCCTAGCACATCCCATCCTGAACTCCCCCCACCCTCAGATCCTGATGCCTGAGCTGGCCTCACTCAGGGTGGCCGTGATGGAGGAAGGCAATAAGTTCCTTGGACACCGCATCATCCCAATCAATGCCCTGAACTCAGGTAAGGACAGGGATCCTTCACTGTGCCCAGAGGGGCTGAGACTATGGCTAGCCCCAGGGACCAGCGGAGGAGGGGAATCAAGGTAGGAATCAGACCTCTCCAGGGACTGACTACAGGTGGAGACACTGTCACCTCACAGCACTGCTGTCCTTTCTGAAACACTACGGACAGTTTTCCAAGGAGCAGGCCCTGAAAATGTATTAAGGACTTAGAGAAGGTTCTCAGTAGCCATGTGAGGTAGATGTAGTTATCTCTCCTCACCCTCCAACTCATGGAGGAGCGTGCCGGGTAAGGCTGCTGACCCTGGTTCGAACCCCGATGCCCCCAACACCACTGACAGTGAACACAGAGTCAGGAGTAAGCCCTGAGCACAGGAGGAAGTTCTCAGAACTTTGAAGGTGTCTGTCCGTACCCGTGTGGCCAGCAGGGCTCCGCACTGAACCGGTCCCCCAACCCCTGACTCTCACGCCTGATCCCGCAGGGTACCACCACCTGTGCCTGCACAGTGAGAGCAACATGCCCCTCACCATGCCCGCCCTCTTTGTTCTCCTGGAGATGAAGGACTACGTGCCCGACACCCTGGCGGGTAGGAGCCCCCTCCTCTGGGTGGCCTCCGGGCTCTCTGGGCTGAGCTCCCGGTTTGTTTCCATGCTGTGCTCTCACCACTCTGCTGCCCCCAGATCTCACCGTGGCCCTCGCCAACCCCATCAAGTTCTTCAATGCCCATGACAAAAAGTCTATGAAGCTCAAGGCAGCCATGGGGGATGCACCCGAGGTCCGTGAGCCACACCCCCCACCACCATGGTCCCTCAGCCCCAACTTTGCCTTGGGTGTGGGAAGTCGGTGAGGGCCTGGGACTCTGAGCCGAGAGGGCTGACCTGTCCTCCCCACACAGATGCCCTTTCCTATGGGCAGCCCAGCGGTGGCTCCCGGCAATGGGGCTTCTGCCCTGAGGAGCAATGGGTCAGCAGGTATGTGCTGCCGGTGCCTCCACCTCTCTCTCCAGGGGCACCCTGCCCTGCTGCTGCACCCCAGCCTGCCGCACCTGGGGTCTGGGACATCAGAGCTACCTCCATGCCCTGCAGGGACCCTAGACAGCCCTGGTGGGGACAGGGGAGCGGGGACAGGGAGAAACCCACCGGAGAGGAGGGGACGCCCCCCTCCCCCAGGGCCCACGCTGTGCCTTTTGCAGCAGCGGGGGCCGTTGCCAGGGAAGAGGCCAGCAAGCTGGCCAGCAAGCCAGCTGCAGGTAAGACGCGCCGAGTCCAAGCGGGGCTGGACGCGGAGGGGTGGGCTGGGGGCTCTCGGCGCCTCACGGGGTGCCCCACACAAGAGCCGCAGACGGCCAGTCTGGAGGAGCTGCGTGCCCTGAAGGACATGGTGAAGCTGCAGCGGCGGCACGAGAAGGAGCTGCGCGAGGTGCAGCGGCGCGGGGAAGCGCGCAGGCAGGAGCTGCTGCAGCGGGCGGCGGCCGAGCTGGGCCCGTCGGGTTGCGTTGGGGGCCGCAGGGCCGGCCCCGACAAGGACTCGCGCAAGAAGAGGTAAGAGTGGGGCCCTCCGTTGTCGCCGTTGGCGCTCGCGCGCGCGCGCACACACACAACCCTCACTCAGGGCCTGACTGCGTGCACGTGGGCGGCCTCTGCAGGGCGCAGCAGGCGGAGGAGCCCCGGGACGCCCCGGCGGGCCCCGATGGCGCGGACGCACGCGTGCGGGAGCTGCAGGGCCGGCTGGAGCAGGAGCTGCTGCGGCTGGGAGAGGCGCAGCACGAGCGCGTGCGGAAGCTCCGCGAGAACCACGTGGCCGAGGTGCCCGGGGCCGGGCCGGCACCACGCCCTCCTCCACGACCAAGGGCCCTGCGCTCAACCCCCACCCACACCGGTTTCTCCCCTGCAGCAAACGGCCAAAATGTTGGAGCTGGCACGGGCAAGGCAGGCCGCAGAGCTGAAGAACCTCAAGGGGACGCTGCAGACGTAGGCCTGCCCCCCCTTCCACCCCAGCCCTCCCACCAGCATGACTTCCGGCCCCCCAAATAGCTCCCCAATACCTCTCTCCACAGTGACACCAAAGCCACGAAGAAGAAGCTGGAGGCCAAGAGGCTGGAGAGGATCCAGGCCATGATCAAGGTCACTTCGGATAAGATGGCCCAGGAGAGGTGAGGAGGGTCTTCCTGGTGCCGTTCCCAGGACCCTTTCCTCCCCGCTCTCGCCCCCAGACTGCTGCAGGTTGGGGCACCCGCCTGCCTTCCCCAGGGCCAAGTGTCCTCTCACAAAGGTGCCTTTCCCCCGGGGCTTTTCAAAGTGCATCTCGCCTCTCTCATCTGGATCCGTGACAAGTCCTGGTGCCAAGAGTCTGAGCAGAGAGAGTTTCGTGGTGGGATGGCTCCACGCAGGGGGAAGCTGGAGCCTTAGCACAGTGGTTTCCCCCTGTCCCCCGCCCCCCCCCCCGTCCCAGCTTGATGGATGAGTGTTTTAGGGGAGACATCTTCCCTCAGACACCCCAGCTCCCAGTGAACCCTTAGTCCTTGTTTGCCCCCGTAGCAGACCCCCATCCTGCTGTCGTTCTTTTGGCCCTCACCCTGAGCAGACTCTGGAGGGGTCCTGCCCGCTCTGACATGCCCTCCCTACCAGGTTGAAGAGAGAGATTAACAACTCACACATCCAGGAGGTGGTGCAGGTGCTCAAGCAGGTAGGAACTGTCTCCTCTGTCTGTCTATCTGTCTGTCTATTTGTCTGCCTCAGAGCTTTCCTCCATCCTTTGGTGTGATCTGTACAGCGAGGGCTGGCTGAGGCCTTCCCTGAACAGGGACACCTGGTGAGCCTGGTGCTCTTGGTACCCACCTCAAGGGGTCTGTCTCAGGCCAGCTGTATGTGTGCATGGAAATGATATGGCAAGCCGGGGATGATGGGGCTTCCTGAGGCTCAGAAGAATCCTAAGGGGAAGGACAGTCCCATGAGGATGGAGCTAATGCCACTGTACTGCTTGCTCCTCCCTCCCAAGTCCTGAGCCTGCTTGACCCCACGCCGGCCACTAAGCCAGCTGCTTCCGGTGGGCACCACCCTCCCCAGCAGGGACTCCCCTCATCTTAGAACGTTTAGGAAACTTCCAGGGCTGGGGAGAGAGTAGGAGGTAAGGTGCTTGCCTTGCATGTGGCTGACCTGGCACTGCTCAGGGTTGGTTCCCCAAGGTCACCTCTGAGCATAGAGTCCTGCACTGCAGGACAATTGAGAACAGCAACAAAGAAGCTTGTCAAAGCTTAAAGAATTCATCCAGGGGCTGGAGCCATAGTAGAGTGTATAGGGTACTTGCTTTGCACGTGACCGACCCAGGCTTGATCCCCAGCTCTGCCTTGAGTGAACCCTGAGCACAGAGCTAGGAGTAAGCCCTGAATACAGTTGTGACCCAGAAACAAACAAGTTTGTTGAGGGTCAGGCAGGGTAGGGGAATGGGTCGGGTCGGGGGAGCAGCCAAGCAGGTGCCTTGCGTGCATGAGACCTGGGGGGATGGTCCCTGGTGCCATAATAACAGACAAAAGACTGTGTCCAGCCTCACGGCTGGTCAACTTCCTGGGACTGTGGCTGGCTCCTATCCACGGCCTGACCGGCTGGTGACCAGCCTCCTTCCTGCCCAGATGACGGTGAATTTGGAACGCCACCAGGAGCAGCTAGAAGAGAAGCAGGCGGCCTGCCTGGAGCAGATCCGGGAGATGGAAAACCAGGTGCCAGGGGGCACCCCCGCAGCCCCCAGCGACCACGCAGAGTTGGGAGGGGGTCTCACCTCTAATCTGGGGTCACAGGCTCTGGCTCTTACAAGATCCTGGAGTGCTTTCAAATGAGGCTGCCCTGCAGGGCTCTTGACCTGGAGAGGCGCTCGAATGGGTTCCACTGCCCCCATCTCCTGCCCCAGACCCCTCTGACTCTAAGCAGGCTGGGGATGTCCTTGATTCGCGGTCTTCCCTCAGTGGAAGGGGTACACAGGTAACCCCTTCTGACAGGTGTTGTCTCCTTACTGCCCCTCCCCAGTTCCAGAAGGAGGCGCTGGCAGAGTACACGGCCAGGATGGCAGGCCTGGAGGCCGAGGTGAAGGAGTCGCTGAGAACGTGCTTCCCCTCTGAGGCAGGCGGCCAGCCTTGCAGACCCCAGGGGACCTCCCTGGAGTTGATGGAGCAGGACCTGCCCTCCGCAGAGGCAGACTCCCAGGAGAGCCGTTTCTGATGTCCCCGGACTCTGCAAGAACCCACAATCCACCCCCCCACCCCCTGGCCATGGAACCCCGCTGGAGGGAAGCGAGGGGCCCCTCTGCAGCCTCACAACCAGCCCAGAGAGAGGCTGTGGGCACCACGGGGCCTCTCTGGCCGCCTCCAGCCCCTCCTTTGCCCCACTCTACCTGAGTGAGGAGAGAAAGAAGGAATCCTCAGAGGACAGGGAGCAGGATGCTGACCGCACTTGGGTCAGGGGGAACATGCCAGGAGTGGGCCAGGCTCTGGGCAGGAGAGTTCCCCCAAAGCTGCCTCTCCCCCAAAGCCTCCATCCTGGGAGCAGAGAGCTGACCCAGCTCCACCCCCCCCAAGTACTCCGAGGGTCCCCCTCACATGGCGGGAGTGGAAGGAAGGGCCTGGCATTCCTTGCCGCCCTGCGGGGTGCTGAGAAGTCGTGCCAGGCTCTTTGCCAGGGAGCGCAGCAGGGTTCAGGGTGGCAGACCCAGCCCTCCAGGCGAGAAAGTGAGAGTTCAACGCGGGCACCACTGGTGGGGCAGGAGGGAAGACTGGAGGCCTCAGGATCCCATCTTCTGCCTTGCAGCCTGCGTCCGTCTGCCCCCACAAATATAGTGATGGGGGAGAAGTATGGCCTTGTGGGTACTTTCCTCTCCTAAGCCTGGCTCGCCCCTTTCCTAGCACGCACCCCGACGCTGGCTGCCTGCCCGGTCAGCTTCGCTTCCTTTCTTATGAGTCTATGAAGCTTGTTTGTTCTTCTTAATCCTCAACAACCAAGCCCCCCTATTTCTGGCCTGAGCCTGGGCTCCCTTTTAGAGCTAAGAAATGGGGCCGGGAGGAGTGTGCCCCCCAGATGAAGTGGGTTGGGGGCTGGGGGAAACTGCTGGGAGTAAAACCGCTGCAGCCACTGTCCCCCCCCACACCCCGCACGTAGGGGTCGATACTGCCTCTGGTTGTGAGGAGGAACCTCTTCTTATGCTCACCCGAGGCCACAACCACTGGAAAAAGGATGTCAGCCTGCCCAACCCGCAGATGTGGGACTTCTGGCCCACCTCCAGGCTGCAGTGGCAGCAGCAGCAGCAGTGCTGGGCGCATAGGAGCCTCCTCTCTTCTCTGGGACTTGCAGACCTTAAGCCCCCCCCAACTCACCCCCCTCCACCCTGCTCCCTGTCCCTAGGCAGTCCAGATATAGTGAGCTCTTGTGCGGATCCCAACACCATGATCCTGGGACAGCTGGGTCCTGAATCCCAGTGCGGAACGGCAAAGGCTGATTCTAGGAAGAGGTTGTTTTCTTTCCAGAGAGTTCTGGCACAGGCCATTGCTGCAAGCACCTGTGCCTTCAGAAAACAAACAGGACTCCCCCACCCCTACCCCCTCACTTCAGTCCCACTGGGGCCTGGCCTTGGGGACTGGGTGTTGCTGTGCCATGCCTGGAGAGGCAGGAAGGCTGGTCATTCTCAGCCTGCACACACGAGGGTGGGACCCCCAGAGTCACAGCCACAACCGGAACCATGTTGGTCTCCATAAACGGACCCATGTCAGGATAAGGATGTCAGAGCACGGAACTGCCCCAGGCACAGTGAGCAGAGACCCGAGCCCCCTGGCAGGGCAGCTTTGGCCCGTGACTTCTGGAGGAGAAGCCGCCTCCCCCTAGGTTAGAGATTCCAGACCTGGCCCAGGACACCCCTCTGAAGCCAGAAGCCCCAGAGTGGGGAAAAGCCTCTGCAGGATGGGGAGGTTGGTGGGGGATTCCAATGGGGTCAGGCCTAGAGAGCCACCCCCCACCTTTCTGTTCTTGAAAAAAAAATTTTTAAGGGTTGAGAACCCTCTAGAACTCCCCATAGTTTCAGGCCCCTAGAGATTCAGGGGATATGCAAAGGGAGGGCCAGCACCAAGCAGTCCTGAGTTCCGTTCCTGCTGACTCTCTTGGGGCTGCAGCCAGGCTGCCTGCCTGCTGCTGGACGTGCCTCAGTTTCTCCTGGGTGGACGCCCTCCTTCCCCAGCCCATTGCTGACTCAGAAGCCAGCGTCCCCTGCTGACTCAGCCCTCCCCCTACACCCCCCCTCTTCCTAGCAGCTCTCCCATCTCCCAGCCAGCCACGTGCCACCGGGCCCAGCCCTGCTGAGCGGCTGCAACGTGACAGGGTGAGGGGGCTGGTGACACTCGAGGAGGAAAGCAGGGGGCCTGCTGGGGGCAGCTGCAGACAGAGTGAGAGACTGCTGCTGCCTGCCCACCCCAGAGGAAGCCCTTTGCCAGCCAGCACCACCCCCCGCCCCCCGAAGCGGCTCTGTGGGGGGCAGGGAGGAGACTTGGGGGCCTGCCCCTGCCTGCCTGGGCTCCGTCTCCTGTCAGCCCTCGGCTCCCTAAGCGACAGCTTCTAATTCCGGCTGTCGGTGCCGCTGTGCTGTGCAGCAAAGTCTCAGCTTTTTTTCAGCTCTGCTATTTCTTTTCTGTTCAGAACATCCTGAGCCCGCAGGGGAGTGAGAGCAAAGGCTCTGGGGCCTGAGACCCAACGCCACCCCCGTCCCACCGCAGCTGGGCCCAATGGAACTGGCTGCTCCTTCCAAACAGTCCTCACATGGCACTCGCTGTTAGAGGAAACCCCAGCGGGTCCTACCCCAGCCGTCTTCCCCCAACTCTCTTCTCAGGGAGCTGGGTAGTGCTCTCAGAAGCCACAAAGTGCCTGTTCCTGACCCTGCTCTTTCCCCTTGCGGGGTGGTACTGCCTTGGCTTTTTACCACAGCCAGAATCCCCTCCCCTGACCCTGGAAACCGAGAAGAGGAGAAAGCAGGCTGGGGCGATGACTCCAAGGGCTCGTACACGGGCATCGCATGCGGGAGGTCTGGGGTCCATCCCCAGCACCCACATGGTTCCCTCTATATTGCTGAGCACTGGACAATGAGTAGCCACTGAGTAGCACCAGGGTGGCCCCCAAACCAAAATAACAAAAACCCAAGAAGAGGTGAAAATGCTTTTCCTTGTGCTGCAGAAAAGGGAAATTGAGTCACGAGGGGAAGTAAGGTGTGCCTCCTGCTATCCGGGTAAAAAGGCAACAGCTGACTCCTGTGACCATCTATATGGGGGGGAGGGATAGAGATCTGGGGCCTGGAACCTGGGAGTCTGGGTTTTCTGCACTCGGAGAAGCAGCAATGCCCTCCCTGACACTCCTGGTGGAATCTAAATGAAGCGGGCAGGGCTAGTGCTACCAGCCTCATCCTGCAGGGAATATGGCAGCCTGTAGCAGTCGGGCTGATACACGCCTCCAGACTGGTGTTAAATAGAGCACTCTTTCTGTGATCATGGGAGAGAAGATCAGCTGAGCATGAGCAAGGGACTAAAGCATATAAAAAGAGGGCCGGAGCAATAGTACAGCGGGTAGGGCACTTGCCTTGCACATGGCTGACCTAGGTTCGATCCCAGCATCTCCTTATCATCCCCTGAGCACTGCCAGGAGTAATTCCCGAGTGCAGAGCCAGGAGTAACCTCTGAGCATCACCGGGTGCACCCCCCCAAAAAAATACAGAAAGAGGACTCAGGGCTAGCCCTCCCCAAGAGTGCCAGTTTTACTGTTAGGTCATGAGTTTGATTCCCGCCACCACCCCAAATTGCCACCAAGTACAGTCCCCTGATCTGTGGGTGCAATCCTTGGCACCACAACCTAGTGTGTGATTCCCGGTACACCACAACCAAGTGTGCAACAGAACCCCCAGTCTCCAACACTATAACAATGGGGGGGGAAGAGGAATATGAAAAGAAAAATGGAGACTCCACAGTGCATGCAGGGAGCCAGCCCCTGTGCAGGAATTAGCCTGCTCCACCAGGACAGCAGGGAACAACAGGACATGGGAGCCCCTGCTCCCTGGCTGACCTCTCCCCACCAGGGGGCGGGCCTAGGAGTCTGGGTGCCTGAAAGAGCAGCGCAGGGAACAGGAGCATGAACCTACATTGCCACACAGGCAGTTCCGGGTCATTGCCTTCCTGTCCAGGGCAGTACCCTGGACCTCCCCAGCAAAGCTTCTGGTCTGTGCTGAAGGCACCTTTGCTCTTCCCTTAACTTCCCATCCCTGATAGGCAGGGACCCTTAAAAGCAGATGCACCACAGCCCCCTAAAAGTGTGTGTCTCTCTTGCTACTCCCCTTTCCCTCTCTTTTTGTGGATGTTGTTGCTGGCTGTGAGGACTGGGTGGGACAGACTTGGCCTGAGCCGTGAGGTGCAAGGGATGGCAGTTTGTCATGGACACTGTGCGTGTGCTGTACTGTGACCCCGAAGGCCCCGAGCTGCACTGCTGCTATCACCAAGCGCACATGTGGGGGTGGGACTTGCGGCCTCACTCCTGCAAGGCCAGGTCTCCTTAAGCCAAACTCAAGATGGTTTCTTCCTCCTGGAGAGACAGCACAGGGGTTAAGGTGTGTGTCTTGATGATGGCTCAATCCCAGGCAACCTGTGGTTTGCTGAAACACTGCTGGGTGCGGGCCCTGAGCACAGAGCCCTGAGGCTGCCAGTTGGCAGAGAATCACTGGTACTGATGTCCTGAGCACCCCTGGGAGTCCCTCCCCCCCATGCCGTAGTCCAGTCCGGAACTTATTTTTTGTGCCTTTGGGGATGGAATCCTGGACCAGACACATTCCAAACGTGTGCTCAGCCACTGAGCTACACCCCCACCCCCCTCCTTATTATTTCTTAGCAATTCCATCCCCTCATCCTAGATCTCAAAAGTCCCATCCTCAGCAGACCCGCCCCCGCCCCCCATCCCCCCCCCCATCTTGTGCTCCAATGATTTTTTTCCTCGGCTGAGACGTATTCAGCCTCAGAGATGATCTCGCCTTTAGAAATTCTGGCCTGTTTGAGGTATCTCGCATCTAGAATCCCACTTCTGCTTCTATTTCCCAAGTTAGGGACGCAGTCACAGGCTCACAAAAGTCTCAATAAATTCTGTAGTTGATTCCCAACTCACTTCTTACTTTATCAATAACTACTAAAACCTGACACATCTTGGCACCTGCATTAGCCCAGGGGCGCCCAGTTAAATTGCATCCACCCTTGCCTGCCCACTCCCTGCTGCCTCCCCATCTCCTACCCCCAGCCTGGGACCTTGGAGATGATCCTCTCCACCCTCCCCATACCATCTCCTGACTCTCTCGCTTTCTTTTTCCACTCTGAGGTGGTCGGCTAGTGGTCAGGATGCGAATCCTTGGCCAGGGGGTGTGGTCAAGAGGAAGGCTTGGAGAGGGGCGTGTTCCCCTAGCTTTTTCCGAGGGTGGCGGCGAATCTTGGGGCGACGCCAGGGAGTTGCTAAGTCGGGTGCGGCGCTCAGCTTCTTGGCCACCAAGTCTTCTGCTGCTCCTGCAGCTCGGCTGCGGGGCTGCGCGCTGTTGGGGTTGCAAACGTCTGCTAGCCGAGCGCTCGCTCTGCCCCACCCCCGCTCCCAGCGAGCGTGTGTGTGCGCGGGGAACAATTGTGAGTGCGCGATTCGCTACACCTCGAGCGGCAGTTCCCAGCCAGACTGCGCGCCCCCAACCCCGCGCGCGGCGCAGGTACCCCCACCCCCAGTGACTCCCACCTCCTTTTGCTTCCAAACCCACCCACCTCCAGTTGGTGGATGCAGTTCTGGCCTCAAGGGGGTCTCTTTTGCTTTGCACCCGCACCGCTGGGGGGCGACCCTCAGTTTCCCCCCCGACGGGCCGAGGTCCCGCCAGTTTCTAAGGAGCCCGGAGCGCCGACTCTGGTGGGGGCGGAAGGCGGGCAGAGAAGACTGGGACTTGGGGATTGGTTGGATCGCGTGCCCCCCCCCCATCCCGGCGAAGCAGCCCCCGCCACCGCCCCGCAACTGCCGCCGCAGCCCCAGGGGAGTGCGGAGGAGGTGCCGCTCCCCGACTTCGTGGCCCACGAAGGGGTGGAGGTCAGGGGCGGGCTCCCCACCGCCGGCGCTGCTCGCCCTGACGGCTCAGCCCCGCTACCAGGAGAGCCATCGCCATGGAGACCCCCGAGGCTATAAAGCCAGGTACCCCCGGCGAGCGGCGGCTCCCGCGCCTCTGAGCCCCCCGAGGAAGGAGCAAGCGCCCTGGCGTGGCCCGGCCCCCGCTCGAGGGGAGGAGGCGGAGGAGCTTGACGAGCGGCGCTCCCCGCCGGGGCTGGAGGCAGGCGCGCACGGCGGGCGCCACCGTCTCAGCAGGGGTGCGGGTGAGGGGCCCGGCTCCGAGCCATGCGGGACTGACAGGCGCCAGACGTGGGGGAAAGCGGCGGGACCACCAGCAGGTGGGGGGCTCCCCCCACCCAGCTTCGGCTTCCGTCGTCTCCGGGGCGCGCCGGGCGCCGGGCTCCAGGCGGACACCACCTCCAGGCGGGCAGCCCGAGGAAGGAGCGGCGAGCCAGCGGGCTCGCGGCCCAGGAGCGGCGGGGCAGCTGGAGCCGCACGGGTACGAGAGTGGGCAGCACGGGACCCTGGGCCGCTGCCGCCCACGTGCCGAGGGCGCCGCACCTGAGCACCCGCGGCGGCCGGAGCCCGGAGGGGTGCGGGAACAGGGGCGCCCCCGTGCGGAGCTGCCGGGCCGCCTGGGCGCGGCGGCCGGGGCCATGCTCAAGCCCAAGGACCTCTGCCCCCGCGCGGGGACGCGCACCTTCCTGGAGGCCATGCAGGCGGGCAAAGTGCACTTGGCCCGCTTCGTGCTGGACGCGCTGGACCGCAGCATCATCGACTGCCGCGCCGAGCAGGGCCGCACGCCGCTCATGGTGGCCGTGGGGCTGCCGGACCCCGCGCTGCGCGCGCGCTTCGTGCGGCTCCTGCTGGAACAGGGCGCGGCCGTGAACCTGCGGGACGAGCGCGGCCGCACGGCGCTCAGCCTGGCGTGCGAGCGCGGCCACCTGGACGCCGTGCAGCTCCTGGTGCAGTTCAGCGGCGACCCCGAAGCGGCCGACTCGGCGGGCAACAGCCCGGTGATGTGGGCGGCGGCGTGCGGCCACGGGGCGGTCCTCGAGTTCCTGGTGCGCTCTTTCCGCCGCCTCGGGCTGCGCCTCGACCGCACCAACCGCGCGGGCCTCACGGCGCTGCAGCTGGCCGCCTCCCGCGGCCACGGGACCTGCGTGCAGGCGCTCACCGGGCCCTGGGGCCGCGCAGCTGCGGCGGCCGCGGCCCGGGGCTCCAACTCCGACAGCCCCCCCGGCCGCCCAGCGCCCGCGCCCAGCCCCGAGCGCCGACGACCCAGTCCCCGCCGCCTGCCGCGACCTCTCCTGGCGCGCTTCGCGCGAGCGGCCGGCGGCCACGGCCACGGCCACGGCGGCGACGCCGGCTCGGGGGCCAAGAGCTCCGGACGACACCGGGCGCAGGGCGGCGAGCGCCCCGAGCTGGGCCGGAGCATGAGCCTGGCGCTGGGCGCCGTGACCGAGGAGGAGGCGGCCCGACTGCGCGCGGGAGCCCTGCTGGCCCGACCCAACTCGCCCCAGTCGGGCTCCGGGAGGTGGCGTTCGCACGAGGTGCTAGAGGGAGCGCCCCCAACCTTAGTGCAAGCCCCCATCGGCCTTAGCCCCCACCCCGAGGGCGGCTCCGGCTGCGGCCGCTTGGGTTTGCGCCGACGTTCCACCGCCCCAGACATCCCCAGCCTGGTGGGCGATGCGTCCGGCTCGGAGGGCGGCCCCGAGGCGGAGGCCAACGCTCTCCCCGAGCCGGCGGCGTCCGAGCAGGAGGGCACGGAGGCCGTCGTGCCGCACGCCCAGCGGTAAATGGCGTGGACACCCGGCGCTGCCCCCTTCACCCTCCAGCCGCTGCCCCACTGGGCATTCTCTTCCAGGCCCCTCACTCTTCTGGCAGTTCCCCACCAGTCAGCCCAGAACCTGCCCACTGCCAAGGCAGGCGGCCTTCTCTCTGAAAGGGAGCCCTGTCAGATCTTTTTGTGTTTGTGTGTGCTTGTCGTGTCCCCTGCTATCTCTGCCTTTCCTCTCCCGGGAGGCGAGGACTAGAACGCTGGTTCCATAGGCTACAGCTTTTTTTTTTAGCTTGAAAGCTAGACGCCCCCCCACCCCTGCCCGGCTCCCTTCAGTCCTAGGACTCAGCCCTGAGTTCTACTGGCTCCTGCCTGCCTGGTTCCCTTCCCCTGGGCAAGCAGAAGGGGGAACAAAAATCCTTGGTGCCTCCTGTTTTGTAGCCCAGACCTAAGTCCGTTTCCTGTTCATGTTAGAGACAGGAATGTAGACACAGGTCTCAGAGTCTTTCTCACAGGAGGGTTGGTGGGGAAGAGAAATGAAGGTTTTAGGTTTTTGGTTTTTTGATTGTTTTTTTTTTTTGCTTGTTCGATTATTTTTTTTTGGGGGGGAGAGTGCGTGTTGAGAAACTCCTGCCTCAAGACAATGAAAGCATATTTGAGGGATGGAGGTGGCAGAGCCCCTGGTGTTGAATTCCAGCAGTCCCAAGAGCAAGGTTCTGGATAATTCCAGGTCCATCTGCCTCTGCCGAGGTCCGCCCAGAATTCAACTCCCACTTCACGGGTGATGTGTGGCGATGGTCCATGTCAATCCAACCTCGGTGGCCTGGGCCAGCCTGGGCTGGGCTGTGTTCAGGGCTGTGTTCAGTTGCTAAGGCCTCCAGCTCCTGTTCCATCCCGGATCCTCTCACTCCCAGGGGCCCGAAATGGAAAAGGACTTAGCACTCTCCCACCCCCACCACCTCCCAGCTCCTGGTCCCGCACGTGGGTGCTCCTGCAGGGTGGAACGCTTGCCGAAGGCTTTGCTTAATTGTATTCTTCCAGTGCTCAAAGAGCTCGTGTATTGAGTCTTTGTATGGGAAGCAGAAAGCTGCAGGTCTGATCCGAGGCTTAAGAACCTGACAATGTCTCTTTAAATAGAAGCTCCGCGAGGGGGATAATTGACTGAAGTGTTTGCCACGTTAAGCGGCCGGCGCTAGCGGGAGTCAGAAGCCCACACGAGCCGCAGGTCCCGGTCTAAATTACATCGCGCTCGGGAGAGAGCTGGGAGGGGCTGGCAAAGGCTCCTGCTCCTCGCTGGGCCGCTAATGGAGGGCAGGGCGGATGATGGGATGATGGACGCTGGAGGTGGAGACCCAGGACCCCTGCTCGGCCGCTCTCCGGGACCGGGCCGGCCCATCTTCATTAAGGGGGAGATTAGTGAGTCAGAGGCCACCCCGCCGAGGTGGTTAAGGGCCATTTGCGCAGCCCGGTCCTTGGGCCCCTCCCGCCCTGCCCGGCCTCTTGTCTCTGTCCCTCCAGCAGGGACTGTAGAAGCGGCCTTGCAGAGTCATTGCCTGCCCCGGGTCCCGCGCTGCTTTCGTGGACCTGGTTGGGGGGGGCGGGGAACCAGCAGCCCATCACCCACCAGGGCCTGCATCTTTTCTTAGACGTTCATCTAATCGTCTTTGCAAGAGAGGACGGCTTCTCACCACTAAGAGCACTGCCCAGAGCCGCACTCCCCTAAGAAGTCGGCCCTGGCGCTGAGAAACGAAACCTGGGTGGTGAGGAGTGGGTCTCGTTTAGTTTGGGGTTAGGCATGTCACTCTCTCTCCCATCCTTCCACCTGGTCCAGCTCCCCAAGGCCCGGCCCCCCACCCCCTTACTGGACGTGATCTCTGGTGCCCCCTGGTGGCAGAGCGGCACTGATTTCCGCTGCGCGCGAACTCCGAGTTAAGATGCTGGGTTTTCTGTGGGATTGCCGCGGTGTGCTTCTCCCTCCGTGTACATTTACCCCCACAGTCCCCCGCAGTCTTCTTCCTTTTGTAGTCTATTAAATCCGGATACTTGAAGTCATTTTGTGGTTTTGAAGGGAGGGGGACCACGAAAAAAAGACTTGCATGTGGAGTAGCAGTCAGACCGTTCACTGGGAACCCTGCGAGCTTTCCAATCAAGCCTGGTCCTGGGCGCCCCTGCTGGTTTGTGCAAAGCTGGAGCTGCCTAGCCATTCCTGGGGTTTTCTGAACCCCGGGACCTGTTGATTATGCGGCTTCCTCCGGTGCGGTTTGCTTTCGTTTCTAGGGAGTTTCAGTCTTTCCACTCTCCTTTCTCCCTAGTCATCTGCCTCTCCTTAATCGCAACAGGCTGGGTGGTGGATGGACCGGATCTAAACCCCCCCAGAAAAGCCAGGTTTGGGATGGGGCATAATCAGATACCCCAAGTCCAAAATCCCCACTCCTCACCCCCCAACCCTTGCCTGCTAACTTCCTTTTCAACTGTGTTTAATTTTCATGAAGTTTTTTTTTTTTGATGGTGTAAGAATACTGGTGTAAGAATATTGGTGTTTTTTTCAGAAACGCCCTGAGGTTTCAGTGGCCCTCTCGACAGAAAGATGCTGGCCGCAGAGGCTTCCTGGACTCGGCCGGAGTCTCTTTATCTTTACTGGGGAACCAAAGTGAGGTTTCCCAACAGGGCAGCACCTCTTTCCCACCTGGACCGGATCGTGTGTGGAGGACTCCCTATTCCTGCAGATTCTACCCCCACCCCCTGCCCACAGCTCGGTGCTGATGGAGGGAGCCCTGCCATCCATCTCCTAATCTCAGCCCCCAGGTGACAAGGCTGGGTTCCCTTCTAGCTCTCTCCACTCTTCTAGAAGAGACTTCCCCAAATAGCTTGCTTTTCCAACTCTTGTTCCTTTCATCATTGTTGACGTCATCGTCATCATCATCATCGTTGTCGTGAAGACTCCCCCCCCTCCCCAGGCCGCTGGATCCTAAGCTCAAGCTCAGAGCAGGTCTGCATATGAGCAACACAGCACGCACACACGTTTGCAGTGACACGGTGGAGGGACTGTAGAACACGTTGGGAGAGTTAATAAATCCAGTATTATTCAGTGGTGAGAACTGGCCTCTCTTTGCCTCTGCAGCCACACAGAGCTTCTGTTGGAGAGGGGGCTGGCCAGAGGGGCAGCCTTCATCCCCATCCCAGCCTCCAGGGTGGACTCAGGGCTCCTCCACTGAGCCCCTCGAATGCCACCCCCTCCCCCTCACCCCCCGCCCCCAATTCCTGCTGGAAAGCTGACAGAGCAGGAGCTGGTCTGCATGATCACTTATTTCAGTGAGACGAGGAGGAGGGAAATTCTGCAATCAGGGCCAGAGCCAGTTTAAAGATAATTTCATGGGGCACTTCCCTCAACCTAGGACTGGAGCCCTGGCTTTCGGCTACTGCCCTGGCCTCTCATACCTCCTCACTGGGGCCCCCTCAGTGCTGCTGATGTTAAAGCAGCTGCTGTCACTGGAAGGAGCAGGAGTTAAGGCGGTGTGGGTGAGGGAGGCAGAAACCGATGCAGCAAAGCTGCCCAGTGGCTGCCCCCAGCACGAGTCCCCCGTGGCTTTGCTGGCCCAGCTCTTCTCCCCTGGGGAGGAGCCCTGCCCGGAAGTCCCTTTCACTTCCTGTTTCTCTCTTCTCAGTCCCAGGGGCCACAGGAAACTGTTTCTTGTGCACTAGAATGACCACTGGGGTCTTCACATTGGGGGGGGGGGGGGTGGAGGGGGGCAGAGGCCCCCCCCCAGGCCTGCACTACAGGATGTCCAGCTTGAAGATGGAAGATATCCTCGCTGTAGCCCCAGAGATCACAGAAATGCCAGAGGCTTTGAACACTCAGTTTAATTTAAAACAGGCACAAGTGCAAACAGTTCACAAAAGGTTCTAGGGAAGAGACTTGTTTTTAAAACTCTTTAAAAAAGTCCTTTTTTTTTTCCTTTTTTTTTTTTTTGCCCCAAAGCGATCCACTAGGGAGCAGAAATAAAAATGTCATCTGGAGAGGGTCCAGACACCTGGAGTTCTTCCCTGGAATTCCCTGTCTCGTGGGAGCCCTGAAGGCAGGAGGGAGAACAGGGAGACAGGTCTGAGGAGGCAGCGGAGGGGCAGATGGTTTGCACGAATGGGGTGCCCATCACCTCCCCTAGACCAGGGCGTTGAAAAGCACAGCAGGTCCCTGAAGGCTGGTTCCTGCATTCAGGCTCCCAGCTGGAACCCACTCTTATTCCTCCTGCAGACTGGGCTCAAGTGCTAGATTCCGGGGTGCAGGAGAAACACAGAGCCTGCCTGGGCCCAGGGCTGGAGATGTGTCGCAGAGACCTCCCAACCAGGAAGACAGACGGGGCTACCCAGACCGGAAGCAGAACTTTGAGGGGCAGGGGGTGGGGGGGTGGGGAAGGACAGGACGGCTAACAGAGATGGGATGTTGGGTCACCTTCCGACGACGTGCACACCACACACATTCTCCCCATCTGGAGGGGCTCTGGCTTCCCTCGACGCGGGCCCCATTCTTTCTCTTTCTCCCACAATCCCCCTTCCCCCCCACCCCCAGTGTCCAAGCAGGCAGTGGACTTCTAGGAGCAGGCTAAGGGGTCACTGCATGGGGATGGGGTGAGGGCTGTGCCTTCAGGGTGGCAGACCTGAGGTGGCAAGCCCAAAGACGGATTTGGGCGATGAACACCGTCCCTGGGGCCCTCTAGGGACCCCAGAATTCGGAGCTGGACTGAGAACCATGTTGCTGATAGGTGGTCTGCCCTCGGGGGTGGCCTGGGATGCGGGGACACAGCGACCTTTAAAAAAAACCGCAGCAGCCTCTACTGCGGTGGCCCAAGAGGCCAGTTCTGGTCCTGGTGCCACTTAGAAATATCCCTACGCAAATATGAAGGCCACCCTGCAGAAGGCAGCTGGGCAGTCACTCGGGAGGGAGAGACCGAGAGGGGACAGGTCCGGCCTGGCCCAGTGGGCAGAGGGACGGGAGGGGCGGGGGAGTTCACATTCCATCTTTGGAGAGAGAATACTGAGAGTGGGGCAGGTGACGGGCTGCCCCAGCCCGGGGGGGCCCTGCCTGTGGGCGCAGGCGCACTCCGGGGGGCTCAGCAGGCGGAGGTCTGCTTGCGATACAGCTGGATCAGGGGCACCAGGCACTCGGGGAGCCCCGTCTGCAGCAGGAAGGGGTGGTCCAGGAGCTCCTGGGCTGTGGCTCTCTCCTGGGGGTCCCGCACCAGCATCCGATCCAGGAAATCTCGCAGCACTGGGGAAACCTGTGGAGACAGAGCAGGGAGGGGAAGCCACCGCGTGGAATTCTCTTCTGTCTTACTTCCTGCTTCCTCCCAGGCTCAATTCTGGATGACCAAGTTGGCGGCAGTCCAGTGTGAGTGGCGCGTTCACCACCAGGGGGTACTATTGAGCAAGGAACCTAGGATCCAGGGGCCCAGGGCGCTGGGTTACAAATACGACCCACTGGGGAGAGGGTCCCGGGTGCCTCTCTACATGCTCATGGATAGACTTTGATACCCAGCGCCATGTTACCCCGTGTCCCCGCCCAAGTACTCCAGGTGTAATCCTGGTGGCCCCCAGCACCGTTGGTCCTAAGCACAGATTGGTCAGGTTTTGCGCTCGCGCGTGTGTGTGTGTGTGTGTGTGTGTGTGTGTCTCTCAGGGGGAGGGGGAGCTTTCTTCCCCTAAAGAAAAGGTTTCTTTCCCAAACCCAAACGCAGAAATACAGTCCCCCACCCCCACCCCCACCCCCTTCTCCAGGCTCTCAGTATTCTGCAGAAGGTCAAGGAATGGAATAACTAACTCAATCTTGAGAATATCCCTGATCTTGGACAAGCTGAAGTTTTCTTTTTTAAACTTTTTTAATTGAATCACGGTGAGATAGACCATTACAAAGCTGTTTATGATTGGACTTCAGTCATACAGTATTCCAACACCCATCCCTCCACCAATGTACATTTTCCAGCACCAGTGTCTCCAGGTTCCCTCCCATCACCCCACCCCCACCCCTTACTGCCTCTATGGTAGGCACTTCCTCTCTCTCTCTCTCTCTCTCTCTCTCTCTCTCTCCTTAGTGAAAGGTTATCAAGAATATCTCTTACCTACTTTTAACCCTCAAATCTTCTCCAGCCTGATCATTCCCAACTATTATTGTCATAGGGATCTCTTCTCGATCTTATCTACCCTCAGCCCCACACACACTTGTGGTTAGATCCAACCATTGACCACTCCTTCTAACCCCTGTTTTCCCTGGCCATAAATATTATTCTCCTATATATATCTTTATGTACCACAAATGAATGCAGTCATTCTATACCTGTCCCTTTCCTTCTGACTCATTTCACTCAGCATGATACTCTCCATGTCCATCATTTATAGGCAAATTTCATGACTTCATTTTTCCTGACACAAGCTGGTTTTCTCTGGACTTCAATTTTACAAACAAATGAACTAATGATCCAGGGTGGCTGCCCTGTCTGCGGTGTGAAGATAAACCAAAGAGCCTGGTCAACTGACATCACCTCACTAGACTGAACTCCCAGTTGTTAGGCCTGCACTGCAGGCTGAGAATTGCCTGGAGGGGTCCCAATCTCCCCAGCTACACTGGGTGGAACCCTCACTTTAAAATGAAAAAAAGGCCAGGACCAGAGCAAGAGTACAGCGGGTAGGGTGTTTGTCTTGCACGTGGCCAACCCAGGTTCGATCCCCAGCATCCCATATGGTCCTCCAACCACAACCAGGAGTAATTACTGAGTGCAAAGCCAGGAGTAACCCCTGAGCATCACTGAGTGTGACCCAAAAAGAAAAAAAAAGTCCATGGATGAAGTCATTTGAAAAGCAGAAAAGAAGGGAAGATGAATTGTTCTAAGTCATCGACTTGAAGACAAGGGTTTAAGGTTGCTTTGTTTTGAGTTAACAGTGGAATGGGCCTGTCTTGGGCTGCTGGAAAAATACACCTGCTGGGAATTAGACAACTGTAAACCTCCATGATCAGAATATCTCATTGTTCGCAGCACAGGCCTCATGGACTAGATGTCTGAAGAGGCATTTCCTGTCTGTCCTTTCCTTCCATCCCTGTGGAATTATGTCGCTTGCCACTTAGGGTCTCAGTGTCCATCCTTGGGGACATTTCTCATTTCAGCCACCAGGTGGCAGTGCTATTTCATAGCGATTGGCGGAGGTGGTCCGTTCCATTAGCTTCTGGGGGTTCTTTCGGGGGGCGGCGGGGGGGGGGGGGCGCATTGGGGATTCCCCGAAGCCTTTCTTTCCTTTCTCTCCTGAACAGCTCCTAAACTTTACCTACAGGGAGCGACTCCTGTGGCCACTGCCCAGGAAATGGATATGGCACACGCCCACTTTTGTGTGGGAAGGGACAAACCGTGGCCTTCCGTGGGAGCCTTCTCTCCCCAGGGAGAATGGTGTCTACTGGTTCTAACACCTATGCCACTGACCTTGTGAGAATGCTTCAGCTTGGGCGGGGGGCTGTCCCGAAGCCTCTTCATGGCTTGCACGGGGGAATCGCTGAAGTATGGGGGCTCTCCGTCCACCATCTCAATCACCATGATGCCCAGAGACCAGATGTCCACCTGCAGGAGACAGTCCTGGACTCACAGACATCTGGCCACTTGGTGGCAATGTGCTTCCCAGAGGGGAGGGGGCAGTGTCCTTGGTGAGTCAGCTTCTTCCCTGTCCACCTTTCCTGCACAAGGCCCCACTGGCTGCGGGGATACAGCTGTTGGCCACCAGCCCTGGAGAAGCCTGCTCATAGCTTGCCCTGCCTTAGGGCCCGGAGGGAGCATCTTGGTCTCTAGTCTGGTAGTAAAGTCACAGGCAAGATCAGGGACCAGGGCTGACGCGATAGCACAGGGAGTAGCATAGCTTGCCTGGCATGTAGCTGACCTAGGTTTGATTTCCGGCACCTACTTGGTCTCCTGAGTCCTCCAGGAGTGATCTCTGAGAGCAGAAGTAGGAGAAAACCCTGAGCACAGCTGGTTATGGGGCAAAAAGCAATAAATAAATAAATATTTTTAAAGCGCAGGGCAGAGGCGGCAATGGGCAAGGGGTAGGGGCCACTTGGAAACCTGAGGCTATTTAGCTGAAGGGTGAGAGGGAGGCGCCAGGGAAGGGCCTCTTCTGGGATACAGGGGGTGGGGAGGGGGCGAGGGAGCAGTACCTCAGTGGCATACAGGGACCTGGAGATCACTTCAGGGGCCATCCAATAGGGGGTGCCCACCAGCGACTTCCTCTTGGGGACGTCTTTGCTGATCTGCGCACAGAATCCGAAGTCTGAGAGTTTCACCTGCGGTTGAGGTACAGCAGCAGAAAGCTGTGTGAGCAGTGAGAGAGGAGGAGGAGCCACACTGGGAGCAGGGGAGTGGGAGGTACAAGAGAGTTGTGTGTGCATTTCTGTGTGCATCATGCATGTGTGCATATGCGTATACATGTGTGCCTGTGTGTATGTGTGTGTGCACATGTGTGGGTATGAATGCATGCATGTGTGTATGAATGTGTGTGTTGTGTGTGCGCGTGTGTTGTGTGTATGCGTGTGTGCAAGTGTGTGTTGTGTGTGCGTGCATGCATATGTGTGTATGCATGTGTTTGTGTGTGTATGCAGCATGTGTGTGCATGTGTGCATGCAGGGCGAGGGTCCTACCCTGCCGTCAAGGGTCAGCAGGATGGAGTCACTCTTGATGTCCCGGTGGATGACTCCCTGGGCATGCAAGTAAGCCAGGGCCTGCAGAACGGCCTCACACACGGTGGCGATCTGCTCCTCGCTCAGTCTGTGGGGAAAGAGAGGCGGGCCCAGGGGAGGAGAGTGTGAGCTTGGGAAGCGGAGACAGGCGGGTGCTTGTCTTGCAGGCAGACGACCCAGGTTGGAACCCCAGCACCCCAGTGGTTCCCAGACCCCAGCCAAGAGGATCCCTGAGCACAGCTAGCCAGGTGTGGCCTCAGAACCAACCAAATAAATAAATGAAAGGAGAATGTGAGCTTTGTGTGGGGGGCTGGGTACAGGGGTGCACAGAGTTGATGTCCCTGGTTCCCTGATCCCATGCAGGGCATGGGCATCAGAGCCCAGGCAGAAACTGAGTCCAGGCATGTAACAACCTGGCTATCCCATGCCCCAAGATTATTAATCCCAACATATGAGGGGCTGGGGGTGGGGGTCGGGGTGATCTGTCAGGCCCCAGCCACACTGTCCCCTACAGCCGCCAGCGCCCACCTGACTTGAGAGACGATGTCGGTGAGTGCCCCGCCCTGCAGGAACTCCATCAGCACCCACAGCTCCTCGCCCACCAGGTAGCTCTTGTACATCTCCACCACGTTGAGGTGCTGGTAGTCCCGCATGATCACCACCTGGGGAGAGGGCGCGGGGCGGGGCCTGAGCACCTAGCTCGCCAACGTCACCGCCCTGCGCCCCACCCCGGAGCAGCCCCCCGCCCACCTCGTTAAAGAGCAGCTCCCGGCGCTGTTGCTTCCTGAGGTCCATCATCTTCACGGCCACCTGGCGGCCCGAGTGCTTCTCACGCGCCAGGCAGACGATGCCGGTGGAGCCCTCGCCGATCTTCACGTAGCTGTCCAGCAGCAGCCGGGGGTCGCCCTGGTCCACCACCATCCTGAGCGCAGCCTTGAACTGCTCGTGCGTCACCACCCCCGGGTCCTCGCCCACCAGGGCCCCCTTGGCGGCCGCGGGGTCCTGGGGCAGGTACAGGTTGCTGGTGCTGATCTGGGCGTGCCGGGTGCGGGGTGAGCCCGCGGGGGATGAGCGGCGGGGCGGGGGACCGGCGGGCGGGACCGTGCGCGGAGGCTTGTGGGGGCTGCTGGTGTCGGAGGGGGGCAGGGGGCTGAAGGGCCCCGCGGGCTGGTCCGGCGGCAATGACTGGGCCTTGGCCACCGGGTTGGGTGGCGAGTCTTTCTGGGGCGGTCGGAATGAGGAGCTGGGCTGCAGGGGACAGAAACGGGAAGAGAGAGGGTGGCCCATGGGTGCCTCTGCAGCCTCCCCGCAGTTCTGCCAGCCAACTCAGGGTGGCACTGAGAACTGAAGCCGAACCCTAGTGGGCTTAGAACCGGGCCCAAGCCAACACAGCCCCTGCATCCTCCCTGACGCTCCCGGGGGTCTTCCCGGGTCACCAACAGGCTCCTGGAGAGCTCCAGGAAGGTCTCCGCAGTCCAGGGAAGGGGGCAGGGGTGGTCTTTAATCTGGGGCGCCCCACACCACAGCAGTGGGGGTGGTGTGGGCACCCCTAGCGGGGCCTGAGGGCCGGTGGTGCCAGACAGCACAGGGGCCACATTGTGGTGGGATTATGTCCCCAAGCCACAGGACCACGGGGGTGGGGAGGTGACTACAGAGAGACCTGGAATCCGGGCGGGCAGGGCCAAAGCCCAGCCTTGGGACCAGTGCCCTGCCTGTCCCCCCCCAAGCAGAAAATTGCAGGTGTTTGAGCCCCAGCAAGGGAGGGCCGGCAGAGCTGGGGAATCTGTGATGTGGCCAGGGGCGAGATGGGACAGAGGGGCTGGGGTGTGACACTCTGGGCCCTGGGGAGCCCTGTTCAGGCCAGGCTCCAAGAAAGGGGCCCTGGACCAGGGGCTCGCAATACACAACTCCCGCCCAGTGAGGCTCCCCATGCTGAGTGGGACCCGCCACCGTTTACCTTGCTCTGGGGTGGGGGGCCTGACTTGCTGCTGAGCGGGCCGGGGGCAGCGGACAGGAACATACTCCAGAAGAGTCGTCGCTTCAGGCTGCTTTCCTGGGCTTTGGGGCTCGGAGTGCCCTCCCCGCCGGGCCTGCCCGCCGCCGGGCCCACCAGGCAGGACTGCGGCCGGCTCTCCTCAGAGCTGTGCCTGGCGACCTTGGTTCCATGCCTGCCAGAGGCGGCCGGCGGGGAGGGTTGCAGGCAGGTGGCCAGCTGCAGGCAGCGCTGAGTGGCGCCCTGGAACTCGGCAGGGCCCAGGGACTGGGCCTTTGCGGCCAGCCCATTGGGCAGGACCCGGGGGGTCTGCGGTTCCGGCCATGGCGCCTGCCGGTAGCCGGCTGGGGTGCCTCCGTTGCAGCTGAGGTAGAGGCCGTGGGGGTCAGTGCGCTCGGACTGGGGGCTCTGCAGGTACATGTCTGGGTCAGCGGCCCAGTGCTCATCCCCCAGCAGCCCCAGGGACTGGGCCCTCCGCCGGCTGGTGGGGCTGCGGCCACGGAGGGTGTTGGAGCTGGTGACCGACAACTTCTGGATGTCGTTGAGCAGCCCTAAGATGTAGCCGTCGGCGGGCACTGAGCTGCCCCGCACCACCGTCTGCAGGGAGGGGAGACGCAGGTGGGTGAGCAGCGGGGCCTGCCCCAGGGGAGCCTCTGAGGCCCTCCACTGAGTGGTCATTCGCTGGCCAGGACGCACAGTGGCTCGGCCTTTGCTGCTGCAGGACACGGAGGACGCCTGTTCTTTGACGGGGGTAGGCTGTAGTGCTGAAGCACAGATGGCAGGTGACCTACCACAGGCTAAATGTCCAGCACCCACTCGGTGTGTGACGGGCCCTGGTGGTGGGTGCGGGCCCCAGACCCCCTCCTGGGGCCTGCTGTGTTCTCTAGCTTGCTTGCTCTGTGGCCTTCGAGGGAACACGCCCAGCTCACATGCGGGTCTATCTCTAGCCCTGAGATGGGTCTAGTCTGACCTCCAAGCTGCTACATCTCTCTGCCTTAACCGTAACAGGACTCGGTGCTGCCCTGGAGAAGGGCCCACAGATTGGCTGCAGGTCCCGGGGAATGTACTCGTGTTAAGGAGGTTCCCCTGAGCCTGTGTTGTTGGGTGTCTCGCAGGGAGATGGGGCTCCTCGCGCCTGCCCTGGGTCACCCAAGGAGTGTACATTACTGACACCCATTCTCCTGGTCACCGGTTACGTGTGCTTAGACTGCAGTGCTGGGCCCTGAAATTGGATCTCTAATGTGCCAGGCAAGCACCTGACCATTGAGCCACACTCCCATGTTCCTCCGGTGCCCTTGTGACTTTGCCAGGCACTGGGAAAGGGGGTGGGGAGGTATTGGGTGGAGGTGGTGCTGGTGGCTGAGCCCAGGGTCTGTGGCATGCTGGGCACGTGCTTAACCATTTGAGCCACCCCTCGCCACTCCCACACAGCTCTCTGTGGGGCCTGGGGGTGGCCGAACTTGGGGCTCCCCATGCCCGCCCCTCTCCTTACCTTCATGGGCTGGAGCTGCACCCTCGTGATGCGTGAAGGGTCCACCACGGGCTTGGGGCGCCGCAGTGTGTCCAGAATGTTCTGCCATTGTGGGGGCAGGCCCACGAACTTGCCTTCCTTGGGGTCGAAGGAGGTGTGGACACGGTGCTGGAAGTTCTGTGGGGCCGAGATCTCGGGGCGTTTCTTCTTCTTCTTGCGGAACATGGTGCCTGTGTAGGGAGGGGCCGACTGAGCAGGGTCCCGGGCTTCCTTGGAGCTGGGCCCTGGCCTGGGAGAACTGAGCTCCCACTTCACATGGCACCCCCCATCGCACCCCTCCTCTCACCCCCACTTCCTCAGGGAAATGACCAGCTCTCAGCAGAGCCTCCCAGAGACAACACAAATACCATAAATAAGCCACAGAGACAAGAAACAAGAAAACGGTGGTGTCTGTCTTGCCGAGCCCCCGGTTGAACAAGCAGGCACTGGGGTGAATTTTTATCAGTTCTGAAGCCCACTGCCAAAGAATTCACCGAGGGAGCCAGAGAAAAGAGAGCAGGCAAACATTTCATGAAGTGACCGGGGCCTTGATTCTCAAAGCAGTTGGGCAGCGTGCAAGACTAGAAGGAACAGAACCATCTCTGTGAGCTGAGGCTTGATGGGACGCAAAGCCAGCAGGCCGAATCAGGCAGCATGACCAAAACACTTCTTGTTTGTTTGCTTTTTGCTTTTTATGTTGTTGTTGTTGTTGTTGTTGTTTGGGCCACACCTGGAAGTGCTAAGGGCTTACTCCTGGCTCTGCACTCAGGAATTATTCCTGGCAGTGCTCAAGGGGACATATAGGATCCTAGGGATGGAGCCCGGGTTGGCCGAATGCAAGGCAAACACCCTGCTTGCTGTACTATCTCTCCAACCCTGCTTTTTTGCTTTGTATTACATTCAACTAGGGGCTGACTCAGGATGATGGCATAGAAATTCCATTACTGTGACATACAACATTCATAAAAAGCTGACCCTGGGCTGGAGAGATGGTACAGGGGTAAAGTGCTGGCCTCACATGCAGCTGAACTCAATTCCATCCCCAACACCACAAATGTTGGATAACATTGGTTTGTCCTTGCTCCTTCTCAGGGAGCTTAGGTTTACTGAGTTACTCCCACAATTGTGTTCCTGAGGCACACCCAATTCCATCAGACACTAATAATAATAATAATAATGGGCTGGAGTGATAGCACAGCGGTAGGGCGTTTGCCTTGAACGCAGCCAATGTGGCCAACCCGAGTTCGATTCCTCCGCCCCTCTCGGAGAGCCCGGCAAGCTACCAAGAGTATCTCGCCCGCACGGCAGAGCCTGGCAAGCTCCCCGTGACGTATTCGATATGCCAAACACAGTAACAACAAAGTCTCCAATGGAGACGTTACTGGGTCCGCTCGAGCAAATCGACGAACAACGGGAGGGCCTTTACTTTACTTTACTTTTTACTTTCATAATAATAATAATAATAATAATATCGTTTTTCTCTTTCCTCTATGTCCTTTTTGGTAGACACAGGAAGACAGTTGATACTATGCTTTTGTAAAATAGGAGTTAATTGACTCCGAATAATATTTACTCCTGGGCGTCCATCATATTTATCTGACCTAAGCCTCAGTAGCCCTTACTTCCTAACACCCCAAAAGCAGGGTCCCAGTGAGGGACAAGGATGGACTCAGGGCAAGCTGTGAGCTACCTTGGCATCAAAAAGGAACAAGCTAAGTGCCATAAGAAGTATAATAAGTTAAGAGCAGAGTCATGGAACAAACTCTGTCATGACCCAAAAAGAAGTAACTGAAGTAACTGCTGGGGTTAGGAAAGACTAACCTGGCCTGGTCTGGGATATATAGCATATATATACGCTATATATATATATATTATCCCCAGGAAGAGCCAACCTTTAAGCTTAATATATCTCTTACTGTTTTTATACAAAATGACTAAAAATATTAGTAAGAAGTAAATTTACTATTATTGTTTAAATGGATCGATTCCTAGCTGAGGAAAGGAGAAAGTAATACGCCCTAGGTGGGATCCCACCCTTGAGCGGATCTCCTAGTAATCTGGAGTGCTCAAACCCCAGATGAGATTTTGTCCTTGAGCTAATCTCCTAGAAATTCCCCTGAAGGAGGGGCTTTACCTCTGTTGTTATGACAATGTTCAACCCCACCTATGTGTAGCCCCACCCTTCACAATTTCTGTGTAACTATGCTGTAAGGAGGAAGAAGAGGAAGAAACAACTATGCTGTAAGGTGAGGATGAGAATGAAACAAAGGATCACTGATTAACAGCCAGCCTGTGGCCCTGTTCCTTCCTTCCCCATTCCTTCAAGTTCACCCATGCCCGTCGCTGTCTGTTGACCTGGAGAGGCGATTCTTGGCCACTGAATGCACGCATCGTGCCCAGGCTTTTTGAACTCAAACACAAATAGTCCCTCAAGTCCCTCCAGGATTGATTCCTCAGCGCAGAGCCAGGACTGATCTCTACGCACTGCCGGTGTGGCCCCCAAACCAACCAAGCAAACAAAAAAGCCGTCTCACCCATGCAGGAGAGACAATGTCCAGTCTGGAAGCATTTATCCTGGGGACCAGGAACCCTAACAGGAACATTCTTATCACCAGGGGTTCCTTCCAGAAAGGTCCTGAGCAAGGGGCACAGCAGGGCACTGAGGTACAGCTCTCTTTGGGGCAAAACTCTGTAGAGTAGACAGCACCTATGTGCTGTGGGCCGTTTCTCTCTGTCTCAGATGCTGGCCATACCAGATCTCCGTGCAGTCCCCTACCAGCCTCATCGACTTGGACTGGCCAGGTCCTAAGCTTCATGCACTCGAGAACTAGAAATGGAGGAGGCAGAGGGGGTCACCTGCAGTGAGGCTGACCTATATGCTGACTCTTATGCCCCTTCTGCAAACAGCAAGAGTGATGCCTGTAAGCTTTTGTATCTGAAGAGGCTTGAAACACATCAATAGGATTTTTGTTTTTCTGTCTCCACACCTTTTTCTTTTTTCTTTTTGGGTCACACCCAGCGATGCTCAGGAGTTACGCCTGGCTCTGCACTCAGGAATTACTCCTGGCGGTGCTTGGGGGACCATATGGGATGCCAGGAATCAAACCCAGGTTGACTGCTTGCAAGGCAAAGCCCTACCTGCTGTGCTATTGCTCTGCCCCCCCCCCCTTTTCTTAAATATGGAAAAATTTACTCCATGGCTTAGAAAGGTCATGTCTAGATTTCAAGAAGCAATACCTTGGGGCTGGAGCAATAGCACAGTAGGTAGGGCGTTTGCCCTGCACGCGGCCGACCTGGGTTAGATTCCCAGCATCCCATATGGTCCCTCGAGCACCACCAGGAGTAATTCCTGAGTGATGAGTCAGGAGTAACCCCTGTTCATTGCCAGACCCAAAAAGTGACCCAAAAAGAAAAAAAGAAGAAAAAGAAGCAACACCTGTTTCTTGGACTGAACGCCTGGGTCATTCATCACCAGAGATCAGGAGCCCATGGTTTGTTTCCTGCCCCTGCTCTTGAGAAAGACATTCTTGGTCATTTGAGCAGGCATTAAAGCAGGTCCAGGACTGGGAGGCTGCGGGGTCCCACTCAGATAGAAAGGAGGCCTCAAACAGCCTGGACTTCTCCAGTAGAATTCACCAGGCAAAGATCAGTCCTCACCACTCAATCCAACTCCACTCTGGAACTCTGAACAGTGAAAACTGTTTCAGGACCACAGCATTTGAATGCTGACCACACACTCCTTACAGGCAAAGCTGGGAGAGCGGGTATAGATCCTTGTCCTCAAGCGGCCGAGACTGGAAGCAAGGACAGGAGAGGAGCTGGCTGAATTCCTGCAGAAATTTTATTTGAGGTAAGGAAGGGAAGGGAGTTAGGCTCTGGGTGTCCTTTAGAAGGAAGCACAGAAAAGATGAAAAACCTTTGCTGTCTTCTTAAACCTCCTTCATATCTTCTTAGCTGGGGGGAGGGGGTGAATGCTAGGACATCTCACTAATCTGGGGAGCCTTGGAATAACTGATCTAGATGTGCAAGGTGGTGAGATGAGACAAAGGGATTGGGGGAAGCAGGATGTTTCTGAAGATTCTCTTCTGTATATCCTGAACACATATCCTACGCGCATCCTTATAACAGCCTATCATTGTATCACTGTATCGCTGTCATCCCATTGTTCATCGATTTGCTTGAACGGACACAGTAACGTCTCCAATCGTCCCTGTTGTGTGCTAGTGTAGCCTAATGGCGTCTGCTCACTCCAGGAACACAAAGAGCCTGAGATTTTAGCAGCCTCTCCTTACTCATCCTTCCCAATGCTGCCACACTGGGGGCTCTTTCAGGATCAGAGGAATGAGGCCCGTTATTGTTACTGTTTTTCGCATATCAAATACATCATAGGGAACTTGCCAGGCTCTGTCTTCACTATACCATCTTGGATGATCTTGCCCACTTCTAGATCCCAGCCCAGGGCTGACTTAAACCTAAATCTGTGTCTCAGGCTCAGGTCTCCCCTCAACTCCAGATACACGTTGGCCGGGGACATTTCTCGGCCATTTCACATTAAACACAATGAATCCAGCATGCACTGAAGCTAAACTGGAATTGAACTACATTGGAACACACTAAAACTTCCCTTCTACCCCCAAACCTGCTTCTCTCCTCTCCCTCTTCAGCTTGGTCAATACTGACATCACCCCCCACCCATCCACTAGTGAATGAGTGGGGTGACATGTACCTGAACTGCTTCCTCCCTGTCCCCTTCAAGGCCCTCAACCAGACCCCAGATCATGGGCTGCATCTGAGAAGTCTAAAGAGATGTTAAGGTTCTGCCACTAAAACATCAGCCTCAGTTCTTTCCAGCATTAGTAGGTGACATGATAGAGACAACCAAGGAGGAAAAGGGTGTAGCCAAATCTCCATTCTGCCACCTGCCTCCATGTAACTTCACTGTATCACTGTATCACTGTCATCCCATTGTTCATCCATTTGCTGGAGTGGGCGCCAGTAACTTCTCCATTTGTCCCAGCCCTGAGATTTTAGCATTCTCTCCTTACTCCTCCTTCCCAACGCTGCCACATTGGGGGCTCTTTCAGGGCAGAGGAATGAGGCCTGTTATTGTTACTGTTCTTGGCATATCAAATACATCATGGGGAGCTTGCCAGGCTCTGCCGTGTGGGCAGGATACTCTCGGTAGCTTACC